ATCGGGGCTTGCAGGCACTAGAGAAGGCGCAACTGGAATCGGCGATGATGGAAAGGACGGTCTGGGCGGCGCCAGGGAGGGAGGATCAGGGCTTGGTGGTGCGTAGGAGGGTTCTGGGATTTGCGGCGACACTGATGAGGTGGGCGGCGGTGGCATAGGCGGTTGCTGGCTTGGTGGCAATGGCGATGGGGGAGTTGGGCTTGGCGGCGGTGGGTGGGGTTGGCCAGGAGGCTGCGGTGACGGCGGTGCTGGACTGTGCGGCAGGGGCGAGGGAGGCGGCGGGCTGGGAGGAGGAGGCGGTGGGGATGGAGGCGGCGGTTGGGGCGGGGGTGGCCGTGATGGTGGAGGATTTGGCGAGGGAGGTTGGGGGCTTGGCGGCTGGGGTGGTGGAGGGAGAGGTGGGCTCGGCGGAGGCTTGAATGGGGATGGAGGGTTGGGTGAGGGAGGCAACGGTGACGGGGGTCGAGGAAATGGCGATGGCGGCCGCGGTGGCGGGCGTGGCTGCGGCGGCCTAGAAGGTGGTGGAGACGGCGGTGAAGGTGGGCGTGGAGGGCGCGGTGGTGAAGGAGTGAAAGGAGGGAGGGGCAGGAAGGGTGGAAACTGCGGGTAGTTCGGGAAGTCTGGGGCATTTGGCGTAGGTGGAGCTGGAAACCCAGGTGGATACGGCATGTCCGGAAATGTTGGCGGCGGAGGCGGCCTGGGCGGCTGCGGTGGTCTGGGAGGAAGCCGCGGTATCCTGGGCATGCGCGGCTCCGGGCTTGGCGGTTCAGGGCTTGGCGGTTTAGGACTTGGCGGTTCAGGGCTTGGCGGCTCGGGGCTTGGCGGCTCAGGGCTTGGGGGCTCGGGGCTTGGGGGCTCGGGGCTCGGTGGCTCTGGACTGGGAGGCTCTGGACTTGGCGGCAGCGGGTTGGGTGGTGGAGGACTGGGAGGTGTTGGGGTGACTGGTGGATTCGGCTTTAGCGGCGGCGCCGGCCTCGCTGGGGGCCTTGGTGGCCGCTGGGGCCTGGGAGGAAGAGGTGGCCGTGGCGGCGGCGGTGGCCGTGGGGGCTTAGGTGCACGCGGCGGATATGGATATGCTGGAGCGTCCGGCGGCAGATCAGGATAAGCGAACCCTTGGATCCGCCTGCCAGACCTGCCTTGCTTGTCTGTCAACGCACTGACTGATGATGTAGGCATTGCCGATCGAGCTGGGGGTGGGGTCAGCGATACAGTTGCCTGAGGGCGTGGTGGACGCGGTGGCGGCGGTGGCTTTGGAGGTTGACGTGGCCGGGGCATCCTTGGGGGCCGCCGGGGGCTGGGGTGCACGGGTAAATCCGGCGGCAGCCCTGGATAAAGCCATTCCAGGGCAGATCGTGACAACTGGCTGTGTAGGTGACCCGCTATGCCCGCGCTGCGGCCGTCAGCTGGGGCTACCCCACCGAGGCGGTCTTTATCCTCGCCACTTTGGTGTCGCAGATTGTCCAGGAAGTTAATGTCCACAGATGACAACAGCGCGTCACGTAAGGCGGTGGGGTCTGTGATAGTGCTATCTGTGATGACCTCTGGGATCGCGAGGTCGACAATGGTGCTGCCAAGCAAGGTCGCCTGACAGCTTTCCGCCAGCCCGCGCGGGTGTGGACCGCCGCCTGCCGTTGAGCTCCAGCTTTCCGCATCAGCCCCTGCAGCTTGGGGTTGCAACAAGGAAGGGATCTCAAACATTACCAGCAGCAGATCAGATTGTCCATGGCTGTCCCCAACGAGCTCTACGGCTACTGCCTGCAGTTGGGTCGCTATTAGTTCCTGCCCTCCATGGCTCTCGCAGCGTAAATGCCAGGCTTCTGCGACGCTTTGCAATCCGTTGACTGGGCGCGCGTCGACGCTGACCCCAAGCATAAGGTTGCCTGTATTTGCGGCGTAGTATGCCGCAAGAATGGCCGCTTGCGAAAAAACTCCCAAGACTGCCTCGTGGTGTGTGACCCATAATGACATGGAACTATTAATTGCAAATGAGTTGCGCTGTATCGCGAAATGCACAGGCAAGGCCGCTTGGCGGTTGCTGCTGCCACAGCTCGACCAGAATCGCCTTCCCGGAAAGCTGCACAACACATAGCGGCCATCTTGCGAAGATCGAACTGCTGCATAGTAGAGATCAACTGAATAGCTGCAACTGAAATGGCAGCGCCACAATTGCCAGTCAGAGTTGACCGTGTCAATGATGCCGTCCACACCGATGACACCGTCAAAGCCCCAATCGATTAAGGCTGGACTAATTCTTGGTGGCTTGACAGACCCGCTATGCTGGATCCATAAGCTGACTGAATCTTCGGAGTGCCTCTTGCTGGCTTGCCACAGCGAAGACTCCACTTCCTCCTTCCCTGCTAGAGCTGCAGCTGGCGCCAGCCAGATGCAGGCTGCCCATTTAAGCAAGAGTATCCAGAAAGATTGGCGGTAGCTCGCATGGCCACGAGGGGCCATGGCGCCACCCTGCGGTTAGCTCAAAATTCGAATGCGTGCTGCAAGCTACATTCTCTAGTAGCCGGGGCCCCGTAGACTTTCATATGCTCTATCGTTGTAGATCTTCAAAATTGTAGGTATGCCGGAACCGTCTGTGCCCTGTAAAGTGAGGTCTATCAGGGTACTGTCCGTCAATTTTGCACGTGGATGAAGCAACTGACAAAATCCACTAACATATATAACTTTTAAAATCTTCCATGCTTCTGCCTGCTCCGCAATGTTTGGGCTAGGCTAGGCGGAGACCCTAGCCCGTACTGTAACAGCTGCCGGACAAGTGGTTCTGAACGGATACCCAAATGCTCAACGTATTTGGCGTGTTTACAAAGCTGAACATCTGTTTCAGATAACATAAAGATCGTGCCAATTAAAATACTTGCACCGGTCCTGGAAGGTGGTCGTCCGTAATGCGAATAAGCTTGCCATGGCTTTTTCCTTATCAGCCTCTCCAGGGCTTCGCCCTTTCTTGATTGACATGTGCCTTCCTTTGATTATCTAATGTAGACAGTATGTGCTGTTTACAGACTCTAAGCTCACCGTCATATTGCGATTCTGGCGTATCCTTGGTTGGGAAAAGTCGGCAGCGCCACACACAACGGTTTTCTAAAGGTTGACTGCACGTCTAGTTGTACTGTGGCGTCAGGTGGTCCAGGCATGAAGCTAACGCGTCAACGCAGCAAAACAAACCATGGCCCGCACCATCCACTCACCCCTGAGACTGCTCTGTAAGCTGCCTGCTGCTGGCTTCTACCCGTGTTCACCAGCCTGCATTTCCATTCGGCTCCGGTCATAGCAGGACACCATGACCTGGCCCGCAGCAACGGCAATGCCCTTTTTTTTATGGCGCACAATTCTGTTATACTCATTCCGAAGTACCGTGGATCAGTTTAAGAGCATGCCGCATATCCACTTGCTGTAACAAGCCAGCCTCTAAGGACGCGTTCATATTACTTATCCTGCGCAACAATCCTTAGCAAACCCATGCAAGCATCCCATTACCCCGCCAACAAAACCCACGGGAGACATATGCAACACGAAGGCTCACGAAGCCCTGTTCTTGTGGTGAACCTCTCACAATTTTCCGTGCATCACCACATCCTCGAACTTGGAGCTCATGCCCAGCGTAACACTACTCCGTCAGCAATTCCACGAGGAGTGCGCGCCGTGTTATAGCTTGTGCCTGTGTTAGTATGACTATCGTAGCTGCTGCATCACCTAGCAAGGTTTGCGGCCAGGAGTGGTCACAGTGCAGTTGCTTGCACCTGTGTTTGCTAGCTTGCCATCGTTGTCTCCCTTCCCTGTCGTCAGGGTCCAAGGTAATTAATGGTGGTAGTGCCCGAATACCTTGGGTGGCCCCCCCGTTTTCCCCATAGGGATTACCGGAGCCAAGGCGTGTCGCTACTGAACTGGATGGGAGCTGCCCCGCCTAGGGGGGCGCGTTTCGATTGGTTGGAGCACACTAAAGGGACCATGCCCCAGCGACTTCATCATGTGCTCATGCGTTTTCGGTTAGGCTGTTGGAAGTTAGAGGTTAATAGGCCTAATGGGCGTGAGCGCACCGCGCGTACCTGCAGGCTTTGTGACTGTGGAGCGGTTGAAGATGAGTTGCATGTTTTCGAGGAATGTCCCGCTTACAAGAGCATACGGGCTAAGTATGATGGTGATCTAGTCTTTAAGGGGCGCAGCATGCGCACCATTATGACTGAGGCGCCACCCCTGGCATTGGCCAGGTACCTCTCGGAAATTTGGGAGACCAGGCACGTCGTGCTGAGGCGCTTCGCCCTGAAGCGGACGAGGGAGAATGAAGATGACCTCCCGCGTACCCGCATCAATACCAATACAACGTCCATGGCCCCCCCGGCTTTTATGGACACACCCGCACTTGTGTGCGGAACTTGTAACTTGCAACTTGCAACTTGTAATTAATGCCATCACATCAGGCCCCTCTCCCGCAGAACCACCATCAAGACCAGCTATACCGTCCACATACGGCTCCCATAGGGCAGGAAAAGGATATGCATTGTCACGATGCCAGGTAACAACGGATGATGACAAGACGAGACGAGGGTGATGACGGCGTGATTGCGTGATGGCGATGATGGTGATGTACCTTTGTGATCGGTGTGAACGGTAAGGATGATGACAGCAGTGACGATGTAGTCCAGCAATAAGGACCCTATAATAAGGACCCTGCACGGGACACAATCACGGATATCACGGTGTTCGATATGCGGCAGGCACCTCCTAACCGCCCTCTACACACGCTGCTACGCAATGTGGGGCTCCTGATGTCACAAACTCATACATACGTACATATGTACATACATACACACGTACATACATACCATACGTCATACATATACGCACGCACAAACCCTGCAGCCCAGCCCCTACTTCCCATGCCACAACGGTTCGGCCTAGCCAAGGCCCGGTTGCTTCCTCCCACTCCCTGTAACCCTTCGCCCCGTCCTTCAACACTGCCACGGGCTATGCAGCTGCGAGAGGCCCTCAGCAGCGTCCGCGTCCTCAAAGCCGCCGCTGCCCCCACCGTCACCCTCGCCGTCGCCGCAGCCACTGGAACATCCTGGGGACACCGGCGACAAATCCTCGCGGGTAAATCCTTGAGGGGAGATTAACGAAAACTGTTAAGTGAAAGGGCAGAGACTGCTGGGTACCGCAGAAGGCTGACCGAACCATGTCCCACGCCATCGACAAAAGCAAGCGATGAAAAGGACTCGGCAGTGACCGATGGCAGCAACGACGGCAGCTAGCCATAGCCATCTTGCGTCTGAGGCGGCGGCAGCAGCGACGGTGTTACCACCACCCCAAAGATCGTCAGCCCCGGCACACCAGCTTCCGCCAGCGGTGGCCGTCCTGGCTCATAATAGCGCCGCTTCCTCATTCGCCGCTTCCAACTCCAGCTTCGCCAGCAGCTCGTCCAACTGCAGCTGTGATGTCACTTGTCGTACACCCTCACAGGAGCCGGGCGCGTCTCTTTCTGCCCGGAGCAAGCCCGCCAGTTGGGCTGGTGCGGGGGTGAGGGTCAGAACGCGCGTAAGCACGGCCACCGCGCGCGCCAGGACTTTGCTATCCCCGGGTTGCTCCTTTGCCTGTTGGGGAAGAAGAGGAAGAGGACGTGGTCGGCCCGGGTCAAGCTGAGGAGCTGGGTTGGAAAAGTGAATAGAGGTAGGTGCGAGCATGGAAAGAGGGTAACCTGCATTAAGATTTATACTTGGTCTGGGACAAGGGCGGGGGCAAGACAGCAAGAGGGCTGGGGGTCGGGGAGACAGCAGAGGCTTAAGAGGTTGTTAAGTTTTTGAATTGCAGGTGTTCACAATATCATAACCTCTCTTCCTTTATAGGGGTATCTCTCTTCCTGTCCCTTTTTTTACTTTAAATTCACCTGTCACGAATTTAGCCTAGGTCTTAACGCTTTATTGAGCCTCTAAGAGTTAAGACCTTCCCTTCCGCTACCCACGCCGTTTGATGTATATCAAAAAAAGACCTAACAAAAGCAAGGCGTTTCTCCAACCAACTAACCAACCACGAAACTTTCGGCCAGCCGGTAGATGTTGCGGACGCCTACACGCACCTGCAGCAGCGTCAGTTCCGTCACATGCACCCACACCGCATCCAACGACGTGCCGTACTGGGCCGCCAGGCGAGCACAGGCGCGGGCTTCGGAGCGACGCAAGCCGTCCCACAGAGCTGCCCAGGCGCCGTACATGAGCAGCGGAGCCTAAGGACATTGTGCGCAGGAGTATGATGAAGCGTTGTCGGCATTTCGGCGGAAGATACGAGAGTATGACATGGAGAGGGCGAGGGAGAGGAAGTTGTTGAGTCGGGGGTAAGGTACGAAAATAAACGGGAGGATGAGGAGAAAAAACAAAGATGGGTCACGAGGGAGATGGCAGAACAAACAGAGGGGCGTGGAAGGACGCGGTCCTGGGAGGAAAGAGGTGAAGAAGGCACGCGGTGAGATGGCGTACCAGCATCGTATCGAAAAGTGGCAAGAAGTGGCAGTTACGGAACGGGTAGATAGGGGCTACAAGAATGGTGTGACGCCGCCCCCACGTAATATCGTAGTACAGTTACGAATGTAAACTCTTGTGTTCTCTCTTGGCTGCTATCACCCCAGCAGCGTTCCCGGAATCCATCCGACTTCCATCCCCTTCTTAAGCCGTGGCGTAACCGTATTGTAACCCTACACGTTCGCCTAGTACGACATACGAGGCTCCCCCTCATGTCTTATCGTTGCACAAATCATGTCGCCCCAGCACCAGCCAGTCAGACCTCTCCCGCCACACCCCTGCTTGTGCTTGTTAATAAAGGACGGCATCGAGCCCTCCTCTCCGCCTCCTGTACCGCTCCACCTAGAGCCCCGCTTTGCAAAGCCGTAAACTCCGTACATCAGATCCTCCCTCATGCCGCCCGGGCGCTCGCTGCATGTCTTACCTTGCCTATATGGTCCAGCAGGCTGTTTAACAACCTCCAGCCGCACCCGTGCTCTACCATCATCCTCGCCAACACTGCCACCTCGTGCGGGTGGTGGCGCCAGTGGGGATACCTGGGGAGGCGGTGAGGGGGGAGGTGAGGGAGGAGGTGAGGGCGGAAGGACGCTGGCGGCCGCCCCAACGACCCAACGGCCCCACACTACACCCTCGTCCAAGCACATCTCAGTGAATGAGTGGAGTCTGTCGCCCATAAAATATGCCTCAGCATGCATCATTCGCTCTTCTCCTTGCTCGCCCTAGGCCCAGTCACAAGTTGGAGTGCGGGTCCGCGTGGGAATCCCCCCCTGGCGTCGTCCGCACCCATTCCTCGCCTGAACCCCCAACCCCCCAACAAATATTCCTGATGCAGTATCTGCCTAATCCTGGACTATCCGTCTATCTCATTGACGACTGAAGCAGATACCAGAGATAGACGGATAGTCCAGGATTAGACAGATACTGCAATCGTCAGTGGTTCTTTCATTCCCCTCACTGCCTCCCCACTTAGCCCACTGGCTCTCCACCCACTTCCTGGTGACCTAGACGAACCCTATGATGCAGAACGCACGCTTCCGGCGTATCCCAGGTAGACACCCACAGAGTCTGTGTAATTGATTCGAAATATAGAAATAGGTAGATAGATAAATGGACATAAATAGACAGATAGTTCTAGATATATAAATCCCGGGCAACACCTCAGCAGGTACTCACTCCTCAATGACTTCCTGCGCGCCCGCCCGTCCACAATCCGCCGTTTTGCACGGTGAGGTCGATGAGAGCGATGATCCGGCCGCCGGAGACCAGGAGGCGGTAGCGGGGCGAGCACACGGTAAGGTGAGTGACGGCGCCAGGCACATTAACGTCACCGCCACACAGACAGACAGACAGACAGACGGACACACAGGCAGATAAGAGCAAACAGACATACGTACAGACATTCAAGCGTACCACCAGACGGACGAACAGGCAGGCAGGCAGGAGCAGACAGACAGACGGACACACTGGCGAAACGGGAAGAAGGGCCCCAGCCCGCATTCCCTACCTGGCCTCTGAAGGCCACCTGCCTTCACACTAACCATCACTTCATGTGGTTTCGTCGGCCCTTCACCTACCCACCCCAAACCCCCCATATCTTTTCCCCACCCAACCTATACACACACACAGACCACCTGCAACTCGTGCCAGAGCCACAGCGGCTCCGCCCAGCTCTTGATGATGGACACCAGCAGCAGCCGGAGGTACTCCACATACAAGTAGGCCGTGACTGGGTCGTCCCGCCGACTGTGGCTCTGAGCTCCCCAGATGATCTGGAGGGTGGTGGGCGAGGTGGACAGCACTTCCAGGAGTTAGAGGGAGGGATGGGGTGGGGAGAGGGAGGAGACCTCGTACGGAGCATGTCCAGCGGCGGGAGGGGGAGCGAGGGTGAGACCGGACCCGACCTAAAGCGACGAGGAGCAGGGGAGGTGGAAGGGGTAATCTGGACAGGGGAATAGGAAACGCGGAGGGCCTTAACCACGTGCGAGGTACGCGCAACCAAGCTCACAAGTCGGTGGGTGTGTATAGGAGGGAGACAGGACAGGACAGGACAGGACGGCGCCCCGGTATCATCCGGGAGGGGTGGAATAGGGGTAGGAGTCGTGGGATGGGGTGGGATGGAATAGAATGGGATGGCGTAGGATGGGACGGGAGACCTAGCGGGAGGTAGGGCGCGGCGAGAGGATGAAGCCAGAACAGGACACGGGGTGAAAGGAATCACGGTGAGGCCCCGGGTGTGTTGCGCCGTGTACACTGTGGCCAACACCCCTCCTTCTAGTCCTTTCAAACGCGTCCACGCACACGCACACGCACACGCACACGTCGTCGTGCAGCGTTACGAAACCGTCCTGTCCCCCCAAGTCCTCACTCACGTTCCGAGATGGCTCCCGTTCATCGTGCCGTTCCCAGCACACACGCAGAACACCCACGAGCACGTCGTGCAGCGGCGGCAACGTGTCGGGCGCCACCGGACGCCAGGTGCAGTACGGCGCGGAGAAGGCGCTATGCTGCAGATGAAGCGCCTCCGTCGGCGGCAGCGCAGCTGCAGTGTCGCCGCCGGCGCCAGATTCCGTCTCTTGCACTGCCGCCGGTTGCTGTGATCGCGTCTGTGTCAACATTTGCGCCTGGGTCTGCTTGGATTGTTGTTGCTGCTGCAAGCGCCTCCAGGCTGCCAGGATGGCGGCGGGAAGCTTCTGGCAGGCTTGCTCCTCTGGCTCCTCGTCACTGCCGGGATGTACGACTGTGTCGTATAGCCACGTGCAGAGGTGCTCGAGCCGAGGGTTGCGCGGCAGATGGATCATAGAACGGTAGCGGTAGGAGCTAATGGTAGGAACGTCGTCGTCGCTCTCACCATCGCTGTCGCTGTCGTCGCTGTTGTCACAGGAGCTTGAGCTTCCCCCAGACTCAGACTCGCTATCGCTTTGTGATCTGTCATTGTTGCGATCGCCTGGGAAGGATCTGCCATCGGTGGTCGGAAAATGGTCGGGAGTTGCATCACGGGCATCCTCAACCTCTTCTGGGTCCTTGTCTTCGACCCATTTATCGACGCTCAACTGTAGCAACGTTGGTACTGCTTTTGATATTGCTAACCCTGCTTCCTCAAAATCGGCTCTTTTAAGGCTTTGGTTGATGCTATTTCGCAAGCTACTCAAGTCCTCCGCCATTTAGCTAGAGAATGTACGCAAATCACGGTTAATATAGGAAAGTAATTCTGCTGTCAGAAAGCGAGACGGCGTCAATTCCTAGTAGCTCACGTAATTCACTAATCTGGCTGCTCACGTACAGTGTTTGACCCAGAACGTGTAATTATCCTCGCTCGTTGATATTCCAATACAAAGATCATATGTTGGTAGCGATAATGATTGGAATGCGCAAGCTTTTGGTACATAATTGTATGATGTACAGGGTTGTACTTCGTACGGTAGGATTTCGCTTCCGCGCCTTGCAGTTCCTCCCTTAAACCTCGTAATCCTTGTAAAAAATACTAGTCCACGCTACACCGCGCTACAAGGGCAGTGCACATGAGTGCTTGGGACGAGCATGCGCACGTCATTGCATGAAGTGCTTGCTTCACGCGTGCGTGAGCTTTACTTAGAGGCTACCCTACATACGTAATACTGATATAGCCAGCAAAAATGGGGCCCCTAGTAAGTCTGAAGTGAAGCTGGTGGCTGTAGCTAGCTGTCAACAGGGGAGCTAGCCAAGGTCCTGCCTTCCAAGTGAAAATACGCGCGCCTCAACCGACTAACAGATCCAATGTAATGGTTTATAACTTGCTTCTTAATTTTTGCTAACTCTTCTTTGTTAAAATTTGCGAACATTAACGTGCTGCATGTTACGGCAAACCAGGCTTGAGTAGCTAGAAAAATACCACTATCCGTACCATGTAGAAGGTGCGTACAGAGACATTATCTTACGTGCATTCGTGGCATACAAGCAATATCAATTATCGGCAGATTATCAGCGGTGTCCGGGGGACTGTGGGGTTGTGCCGAGTGGGGCCCCCGCTAGGAGTAGGACGCCGCTGATATGTCCAGAATTACTTTGTCAGATATCATTCACTAGGTGGAAAAACCTCAGCTGCCATGATGGCCCCGAGCTGCACATCAGTATGCAGCTAGGAAACTTTGCTGGATGCTGCCCCTGCCTGGCCACCGGGTACAGTGACCACCGTACGGCATGTTTACCGGTTAATCCAAGTACCAAAAAGCTCACAAGCCAATATAGCAAACTGCTGAGCAACTGCAAATCTTACTAGGACTTTTCCTTGTGATAACCCTCTGGCTTTTTGCAAATGACATGACCACGCGACACTATACGTTCCCCTGACTTGTACCAGCACGTGCGTCAATAGGAAAATTATACATATAATTAGACATTACAGGTAGCTCCTTACCAGTTTCGCAGGAATGGGAAAAGGAGGCACGAAGTTCGTTGGAGATGCGGTAAGTTGTGAGGCCATATTTTACATAGCTACGCTCCCGTTTGGCCATTGATTTGCCCCGTGGTTCGTGCGAACTGAGAGAAGTCTGACTCGAAAGGGTGCATCATGGCCCGTAGGTCAGCGTCCGGCGCAAGGCAGCAGTCAATGATACTGTCAAGAACATCAAACGGAACCTTGACAAGTTTCTCGAGACAGGAGTGCATCCTGAAATAGAGCGCATGCGCCAGGTGAGCTCTCGAACGCTGGTGCCGCCTTTGCGTGTTGACCGGCAGTCCAACACCGGCCCAAAACACCAGCTCCCAAAAAGCGGCAGCGCGCTTCTACTCGACCGGCTGGTGGCGAGAGTTTCAGGTGGAGCCAATTTACCGGAGCCATTTCCCTGTGTCCGCAAGCTTGCGCCGCGCCCTGCACACCACATCAAGCCTTCTTTCACCCTTTTTCCCCGATATCTGATGCCCGGGCCACGTCAACACCACCCATCCGCACCACCTATCCAGCCTCCCCTGGACCATATTTCACCGGCGCGCTTAAGCCATAAACTCCTCTCCCTCCACCGCCCTTCTACTGTGTATTTCATCCCCTGCCTGCCCTCAGGAACGGGCCAACCAGTTGCCCGCGCTGCCAGATCTGGACCTGCACCGGCCCTTTGTGTTCCTGGACATAGCCGTGGGGGGCAAGCAGCAAGGTGCGCAGAAGACCGCGCGGAGCTGTGCCGGTGAACGCAGCTTAGGATGCTGCTGCTACTGCTGGTTGCTTTTGGCAGTGGTGACGGTGGCGTGGAGGGAATGGCAGTGGTTGTGACCCCGTAGCTTAGGCTTTGCCTCGGCGCCACCCGCTGCCTGGCCGCGTCTGCTGGCTGCTGCCGTCGTGGCCTCAGGGCCGAGACCTGTTGCAGCTCCTCCCTCTCACCTCCCCCACTACCCGCAGCCAGCCCTTCCACCTCGTCCTCGGCGGGAGACACTCGATGAATGTCGTTCTCCACCTCCATTTGCTGCACCGGGCAGCATTGTGCGCCGCTCGGCTCAGTTGCCTTGGTCGCCAGGGCCCCTCAATCCCCGTACCACCATCCTTTCCTTTCCGTTATCTGCATACTACGCGTGTGTTAGGTAGGACACGGAACACTGCGAGGAAGGTAACATGCATGGCAAGTAGTCGTAGCCATGGAGGGCGAGGAGGGCGAACTGCCATGCTGAATATTCCTTGTACATGTATGTGTGCGTGTATGCATGTAGCTATGTATGTACATATCAGTGTGCTTCACTGCTGCCAGTAGAACCCACCAGCTATCACGGTTGCAAAACTCGCGTCTGAAGGCCATGCGGCAGTTGGACCACCAGACCTGGCCCGTCGCATGCGTGCAGCGCCACTGGTGACCAGAGGGGGCAGAAAAAGGAAAAAATGTGTCAAAGGGTTTCTATCTACACCAGCACACGATACAGCACCGTACAGGGGCGTAACCCACCACTACACCAGGGCTTCCGTGGTGCTCCCAAAGGATGAAGGGCGGTGGCGATGGGCTGTGCAGCAGCCGCAATAGCATGTAATAAAAGAAGTAGCTCTTGCCAATCCCAGGCGTCCCAGTAACTGCACCGAAACACAAAGGGCAAGAGGGCGGTCTTGGACAACAAGTGAGCGGAGTGAGTGATCGATACTAGCAGCAGAACAGACATACTCCCTCTCCCTGCAATGTCAACCCCACGCGGCCCACAGGCCGACTGGTGGTTGAGCTGTTCGACGACATCGTGCCGGTGGCCGCCAACCACTTCCGGAACAGGTTAGTGAGCGATGGTGGGTCCCGTCTCCGGGCAGTGAAGGTGGAGAGCCGCGCGGGAGTAACGGCACCGCCTCAGCACACCTCACGCCGCCGCACACTCGCATCCTTACACCCGCCTTATCACCAGCACCACGATGATGATGGTGTTGTTGATGATCGCGCTACCGGAGATTCCAGATGCATCTCCTGAAGCACTGCGTGCTGTTGTTGATGTAGGCGGTCTTCCCTCCTGACGCCCCAGGTCCCACACCCCCTAGGTCGCCGCCCTTCGCAGGTGCCTTCCCGGCTCATCTGCGGGTCTTACTGGCACCGCCTTCCACAAGCTGCTACCCCGGTACGCCCTGCACGGCGGCCTGCAACGCACCGGCGGCACCAGCGGCAGCAACCGCCCGGGAGCTGGCACCAGCTCTACCTCCGGCGGCGACGGCGGCGGCGTGCGGCTGCAGCCCAACACGCAGCTCCGCGCGGTTGAGGGCGGACTGGTTTTGGTGGCGCTGGAAGGAGAGGACTTTGCAATATCCTTGGACAGGGCGCTAGACCTGGACCGGACACATCAGGTAGGTAGGCAAGCTGGTTGGTAGTTAGTTATCTCGTTAGTTCGTTACTTGCTGTCCTTTGTGTATGTGCAAAGGCGAGTATGTTTAACTGTAGAAGTCCACCGGGTTGGGCTGGTCCTCCATGTTGAGGGGTACGTGGGTGGGTGGGCTCCGAGGGCTAATGGGACGACGTTGGGAAAGGGGAAGCGGCGAGTGGGTCGGGTGGCGGGAGGAGTCCCTTCGCCATCACGGAGTGTTTGAGTAAAGCAGCTCCGGTTTCCCACCATCACCACCACCACCCCACCCTATTCTTAAACCCAAACGACCGGGGGGGGGCCCAAAGCACCGGAAGGTTGTTTTCCAGGAGTCATGGGAGCCGTATGGTGGTTTCGACCATCACCGTGGACGTGGACGTGGAAAGCTCTTCTCCCCCTGGCAGGCGACTTGGTGTTGTCGATTTGGGTCGTGATGCGGTGGGCCCGGCCCTCCGGTTGTCGATTTGGGTCGTGATGCGGTGGGCCCGGCCCTCCGGTTGCCCCTTCTCCGTCTCCGTCTCCCTCGGTCGGCAGGTTGTGGGTCGCATCCACAAGGGCCGTGAGCTGCTGGACGGCCTGGGGGATTTGCGCACCTTGCCGGACGACTCCCCCGCGCAGAGGGTGGTGGTGCTGAGGGCGGGCGCCACCAACCACCTGGGCAACCACGAGGAGTTGGGAGGGGCGGAGGAGAGGGGAGGGGCAGGAGGGGTACCGCCAATGGACGCGGCGACGCGGCTGCAGGAACAGTCCGAGGAGGCGCGCTCGGCCCTGATGTGCGTGTGGAGGGCCCGGCTCGGCGCTCGGGTTGGGAAGATCAAGAGAGATGAAAGGGGTGAAAATGGGAAAGGGAGGGCAATGCGAACACGAGTTCTGGGTGGACGCGGGGGTAACCAGAGGTGTACTCCATAAGGGACGTAGCAGGCACCGGCATGGCAATCTTAGACAGCTCGATCTGCTCCTGTGGTTTTATGTTATGTGTAGGGTTTGGCTGCAGGGACTTAGGGCGTTGCGCGAATGTGTGATTGCTTCTCGCCCGGATTCCTCTGCACACCCATTAGATGAGAGAGAGAGAGAGAGAGAGAGTTGTTACCTCCGGTGGTGGTGATACGGCTCCGGATGGACTGGTGTAGAGGGGGTGGCATCGTTTGCTTGCCGACTGGCCCTGACTCACCATGAATCTGTTGGTTGGTAATTGGATTTGTACTTGCTCACTCCTCCAGGGATGCGCTGAGCGAGGGCCTACAGCGGAAGCGGAAGCCGGACGGCTCAGCAGAGGACGGCAGCGCGGATGCCGCCGGCCCCTCTACTGCGGCTGCTGACGCGGACGGGGCAGGAGGAGCCCCGGCGGCGGCGGCGCCGCGGCCAGCGCCAGCAACTCGCAGCGTTAAAGCGCGGCTCCTGGATAGCATGTTGGGAGACCTAGAGGATAGCGGGAGTAGCAGCAGCAGTAGTGATGAAGATGAAGACGGTGGTGGCGGCAGCTGAGCTTAATGGGGGCCCACACTACATGCACCAAAGGACGCTTAATAGGACATAAAACCCAAAATTGCGCAATATTTGGCGTTTAGCATCCATCGTTCGATCGAAATGGGTGGCTTCCAAGGTCCCAGATTCTGGCGAGTTGTGGTAACTCCAAACTGGGGCTGGCATATATACGTACGACTTCGTACACGACCCCATGTGAAAGGTGAACAACCCCACAGTGGCACTGTGGACCCCACTGCTGAGTAGGGAAACAAATGCCTGGGGTCCCACGGTGCACGTCAAACCCGCCGCCTCGCAAACCCTCCCCCTCTAGTACCAGAGGGGTTGCTTAAAGAAAAATGTCATTCGCCGGCCTATGACTCTGCCTATGTGCTCCAAAGTAATCGTCTGTACTGCACTTGGGTGGAAATAACAGTCCAAGAAATAAATGATAAACATAACGCCCAACAGGGGAACGTTGCGCTCTCGTGCACTACATGCTTGCAGCACCCACAGGGGGGGAAACTGGAATTGGGATGGGAAGGAGCGCAGAAAGCTATGGTGCTGATGACAGGTTCGCCGTTCTGTCGTAAACAGTAGACACGACCCGAAACCTCCTGTGCGGGCACCTGCGGTACGTATGGCCAGCTTGCTGAAGATGTTGGCGGGATGGGGAGACCCAAGGCGACGGAAGGTGGGCATGGTGCGCCGTTGTGGGCATGGTTGTAAGCCCGCATAGCTGCTGCGTGGAGAAGGAAAGTGTTAACGGGTGCGGACTTTAACTGTTCACGGCTGCATAGTGTTAACGGCTGCTGCTGTTTGCTGCTAGGGTTTTAAGGGTTTTACATGGACAATGCGCTCTTTTAGGCTGCAATAGGTTTTGCGCTCCTTTATGACCCGTATTTGACATTGGAGTTGGACTAGAATGAAGCCGTCAGATGCTGATCTGCAAGCCCCTGCAAGCCATCACGTTTTAAGTATAGGAAGTTTCCACTTGGACTTGGATTTTTTTTAACGAAAGCCACAAATGAAGGCGGAATCGGCTCCAATCACAGCTTATGGGAACAGCGGTGTGCAAGTCGTAAATTAGGAGGATAAGAGCTTTGCGGAGAGGCGATCAGATCAAATAACCACTTTTCCCAAAAAGTCTTAACGTAACGTAGCATGTGAACTGGCTAACCCGGTAATCAGGCACCGTTACCGGGGTATTTACCAGGTCGCCCTACCGCATGTTATTGACCCAATAATGGGAACGACTAATAACCGGCCTCGGATACCAGGCTATAAAGTTACTGGGTCGTTACCGGGGTAGGGTCGGTAATCGGTCAGTTACCCGGTAATCAGGCACCGTTACCGGGGTAGGGTCGGTAATCGGTCAGTTACCCGGTAATCAGGCACCGTTACCGGGCTAGGGTCGGTAATCGGTCAGTTACCCGGTAATCAGGCACCGTTACCGGGGTATTTAGGGTGTGTTCACATGTAGTCCAATTGAGAGTCTGATTGGGAGTCCGATTCGGGGCGGCTTTCTGAATTGTGTTCACATACGATTCGCTGCAGGGCAACAGGAATCAGCGCGCCCAGCTGAAGCTCCGCGGCTACGCCCCATCACCCAAGGCAAGCCAGCATTATCTAGGAACAGAACAGTATAAGTATCGTTTCTATGGCGAAAATTATCACCAGGCTTGTACATACATAGCTGCAGGAGTTCGTGAAAAATGCTCGGTGCGCTTTGCGTGAATTAACAATTGGAAAATGTTCCTATAGTATTGTAATGGTAATTATGAGAAACGGTTTGTTAAACAACTTTGTTTTGAGAAAGAAAACTGTGAATCACGTCGAATCATACCCGAAGAGGCCCCCCCGGACCCCAATTCCGATTCGGGTCCAATCAGGTCCAATTCAGAGTCCAATTCGCATGAATCAACCCTGATTCGCCCACATGTGAACACGTCCTTACCAGGTCGCGACCTGGTAAATACCGGCGCCGGCGCCGGCGCTCAGGGGATCCATCGGACGCCGCCCTAGCCTGTGACTGAACGTTTGGATTAAACTATTGCATGATCCAAGCGAACGGCAAAATTGATTTAGCGACACGCACTGCTGCAACTAAACGCCGAAGGACTAATCAGCAACTGTTCTGGCGAGATATATGAGCTTAGCTTATCAGGGCTTGTACTTTATCAGCTTCGCGATCCGTGCAACACGGCGCATGGTTACAACCTATAGCAAAATGGACTCGTAGCTTGTATGATCATTGTGCGTGCAGGTTGCGGTCTGCCCCGACTGCGCCTCACTAGTACCAGTGGTCATTTGATCTGCACCGTGTAGTTTCAATTTTGACGACGAGAGAACGCGATTGTTACAGTGGACCCCGAACTGTCGAGTGCAGCACCCCTAGGAACACCTCCCGCACAACACTGTGGGCCTTATTCACAAAGAACTCGGCCAGGCCGTACTAACTTCACTGGACACAAGGCCTCAGTTAGTACGCTCAAACAGAAAAGATGAGGCTCCGACGTGAGCCCTCAAACCCCCATCATTGTACATCGGTAAACGGCAAACATCCTTGCCTGCGTCGTTGACATATAAGAAAGGGTGGTTGTGAGGCACGTGTTCCTAACGTTTTGGCAAGTTATCCCGTGCCGCAAAAGCAGTTAAACGGGCCCAAAAGTCAGAGATAATATCGTAAGTAATGCGGTTAAGCGTTGACGTAGACACGGCCATGTTGGCCTGAAGACCTTCCCTAAACAACAAGCAGGTGGCTGGCAGAGGTTAAGGCAGAGGTTAACGCAGAGGTTAAGGCCTGACTTCTGCTCCCGGTCGACCCGGGTTCAAATCTGCATACCGACCTCTCGGGTGTTTGAGAGGTGGTGAAATGGGAGGAGGCTCCCCATCTTGTGGGCGGTGTAGGCCGTGATAAAATCAACTCGCGAGCTGACCAGGAACTAAGTTGAGGCGCCGTTGATTCGCTAGATTTGGTTGGATTCTGGTGGTGAGTTGCCAAACTACACACTGAAGTCGGATGGGGTGAATGGCTTAGGGTGCCCCTCTAGCAGGGGAGAGCAGGGAATTGCATCGGGAAGGAGGCCACTGGTGAAGCTGTACCACCCTGTAACAACATCAACAAACGGCGACCGAGATTGAGTGTGCTGATGGCCGCGAGGCCGCAAAAGTATTGATGTCATTGGGCGGCCCGGATCTTGGCTGTCCGTAAATTGCTGTACGGACAATCACCAACCGCCACGTAAGGACTTCGCTACCCAACCTTGCTTTCAAGCCTTCACATACCATATAGATTTGTAGCTTTACCACGTCTCAAAAGGAACTTAGAGATGCATCTTTGCAGATGCAACTAATCCACGTTTTATTCGAACTGTCTGTGAATGGGCCAGAGATCAATATTAAATTAGGACAGATTATAAAGGCGCAGAAATGTAGCTTTTAGAACATTCGGAAACTGTTCCTATTTCGGCGAGCATCGATGGTCCGTTCGTGCTCGTCCTCTCATCAGTGTCGCAAAATTCGGTGCCATTCCCTTTTCAATACCGTAATGGAAGCAATTACAAACCGAATACTGCACCACCATTGCACCTCTTATTCAATCACGATGTACTGAGAAGGGCAGGGCAAGAGTTGTTGCGTTTGTGTGATCTTGTGCTATCTTGGGTTGGACAGGTAGTAACGGTGTTCAGATAGAGATGAATGAAATATACCACAGACCGTTACGACTCATTGGGTGCAGCAGCGCAGCTGCTGTGGTATGCTAGCTGCTAGTGTTTTTTAATACGCAACTCTACTATTTAACCTCAAGAAGCAAACTACCGCAATAAGCTATGCATATCATGAAAAACAAGGAAATCGTGCTAAGGGTTACACTGTCCTATGGGGAGTTCAGGTAGCATTCGACAGCTCATCAGCGCCCAAAAAAACTGACGTACTTAGCACTATGCATGGGCCTTACGTTAAATAACACATATTATGTTTCTTGTGCCTCATGAGTCCTACATTCCCTAAGGCACGCAGCGAAGCAATACATTACATCAGGAAATCATGGCGATATTGCAGTGCGCTTGGCCCGCGTGGCCGAACGGCATGAGGCTAGCAATAATGTTGTGCGTCTGCCTCGCCGTCCTCTCTTCAAAGGTGGTCACTTCTCAGGAATTTTCGGGATGCATTCCTCAGGTCGGCGCAATAAAATGGAAGGCTCCATGATAATTTATTCCGACTTCCCCTAGGCAATTTATTTCTTCGCTCAGGACTCCCTTTAATGGTCTTCACAGTCATAAAGTGAATCGATTTAGGCTTTTATAGTTTGATTGGAACTAAACTAAGCGTCAGCGCATATTCTTTACTAACGGTATATGTCCCCACGCACCCCGCTGATTCCACCGTAATTAAAAATGTACTTATTATAAAGCTGGGGCTGTCAATGACAAGAATGAGCTCGTTGAAGGCTGGCAACTGGGATGGCGCTGGCTCTATGGAGGTGATGGATTATGACCCGTTCTCAAAACTGGCCGCAATCGTCGAGGCCCGCCGGTCCCCAATAAGTGAGTGCCGCCCCTCCTACAAGGTTAAATGCAACAGTAATGTTGGCACATACGTATAATTGTATACATGAGAAACTTTGGGCATATTGTACCGGAGCAATCTTGATTGGGATTGTTCTGTTTCCTTGCTTTTGAAACAAGTTTTGAGACGGTTACTTCACTCTAAGTACCCGGAGCGTTCATTCCATATTTGATTCAGATTCATTCCGGCCCTTGATTTCCACCCTTCATTCCACAACCCAAAATGAAAGCACCCTATCATTTTGGAATGTGCGATCATTGCGTGTCGAAGCGTGTCGGAGTTCCGCCGCTGGCGTTGGAGTTCCAGCCGCTTAGCTACCGGCCCCAGATCATCACTTGCACTGCTGCACTCAATCTGTCATTTGTACTAAATAGGACTAGAGTCGCGGATTGAGGTTGACACTGGCGGATCAGCCTTACTTGCGCGCATGCCCTATGAACGCACGCGCATGCTCTATGAACGTACCCGATCATCAACCTCATCAACTGTTGCTCCCATTCACACGCATATGTCGTGACGGTTGGAAGCGCGCTTCGTTTCGATACACGAAGACACTACACGCAAACGCTCCCGCTGGAAGCCACACAACCGGCAATTCTTTATGATAATCATCACCACTGTCGTATTTTCGACATAATAACCGCACACAACGTTAAATGATTGCCAAGATGAGCACACAATTGTAATATTCCTCGTCAATCTTAGTGAATCATGGACCTGATAAGGATCGGCGAGTGTAACAGCGATAAATCTGGACTTGGACAGTGCAAATGTGGCGCAGGTCAGCAGCCGGCCAATTATTGTGTCCGCACAGTCCCTGCCCCATTATATCCGTAACAAGCAATTAATTATTACGCGTAATTACTTCTTAACGCAAAACATTGGTTGTACTGCCGTATTTATGAAACGTTACTAGTCGAACGTATCATTATGGAACACCACTTGCATGGCCAGCCATTGGGAATATCTTGTACAGCAATTGCTGTACGGGTTACATTAGGTGCTACCATCGCGAGCTGTGAAGGGGCAGGTGGGGCTGGCCGGGCTTGCTCCTCTATCCAGCGCGCGCGGACAACCGTGAGGAGATGGAGACAGACCCGGAGATAGAAATACGTGCTCTCCAGCCCCTCCAGCTCCTATTCCTTCGCCGGAAATGTGATACCTTACGTCAAAACATTTGCGATCGCAAGCGATTATTGGACCTCCTCCTCAGCCTCCTAGCCATATGTGGTTCGTGGTTCAGTCTGTGTGCAACTGCTGTGCCACTCCTACGATGGTCATATAGGGCCACCAGAGATGCAGCTCACCATATCCCTTGCTTTCGGCTGTCCTCACACACCCCTTCACGTAAAGATGCGTTAATATGGTAATAATATTTGCGCACGCGCCGAGGAGAACAGTAAGGCCATGCAGCAACCAGGGGTGTTCATCGCCCCGCACGCACCCCACATGTGTTCCACCGCTTGGTGGCCGCGCTCCTACACGTCTAGCTCACCAGCAGTTCTGAGCGCGGCACGTGTACTTTAGCCTGGCACGTATAGACTCGGCATCTTAAGGCTTACAGACATGTGGGGCGCAATTCAGGCACGTGGGGCAAAAGCACTACGGGGTCACGTACACCTGTTGGGTCCAATGAACGTAATAAGCCTAGTCAGCACGTGCGTGTAAGCCAATTGTGTTAGTGTCTAGCATATGTGAGCTCAGCTCTATCTGCTCATTTTGGTCCCGTTAAAATTTTGCGTTACTGTAGCTTTATGAATTTGTATGACTGTATGCTGACACATTTTACGGCCATGTACGGCACATTTGATCACAGCTCCTTTGGCGTTGCTGATTGTCAACTACGCCAACGTGTCGTCGCCCTTCATTCACCGCCGTATCCTGGTGGGAAACTCCAGCGGCGAGGGTAATTACGTGGGTACCCCGAACAGGTATGTACGGCACATGTACGGCCCACCTGCACCGAGTGGTGAAGTTGGCACCGGGGCTGCCTCTCCTCACTGTGGCGGGTAAAATATGTACAGAGCGCCACTTCAATTACCTGAATTTCTGACATCATTCTGTCTGACTGAGATTTTGACCATGCGAGAGGGGGGGCCACACCGGTGCATGGGCGTGATGGCGCCCGGTAATGTAATGGGTTGTCGGAAATACACGCAAGCCTTGGAAATGCATTGCGGCAATCGAGCTCACCTCCTGAGAGCTAAAGCCTGCATGGCATAACAATAATGCTATAGATGCTGCTGGATTATAGGGTACACGTCGACACTGGTAACACTTAACGACGCTATCACACTTCTGCCTGCCTGCTGCCATGTGCTTATCCATGCATGTTCATTCGTTGGTTGTGCTATGTGTGTATGTATGTATGTGTCCTGTCTGTATACATGTGATGCAGTGTGGCGGTCTGGAACGGTTTTGCAGCACTGACAATGGATGGAGTGCCGTACACGGCGTCGGGCATCCTCCGAATTTACCACATGGCCTCCGGTGCGTAGTCCACAACACCACGCGGTGCTATTGGCGTTTTTACTGCTCAAACCAATTTTACTGCTGCGCGTGTTTCGCTTTGTGTGTCGTATCGCATATATTAGGGTTTTAGGGTTTTAAAATCGTTTATCAAGCTGATGAGAAGGACATTTACAATTATCTCCCTGCTGATGTTCTCCACGGCGGCTCTCTCACTCACGGCTAATTCCCTGTCCCGTCTATGTATGTGACGGTTTAAGAGCCTTCATATCCCCCATGTTATGCGAGCTAGATCTCTTGCCCATGGCCACATCACAGCGCGCGGCACCTTTGTTAGGGTTTCTCATCACGGGGCCGAGGGTTTGCCTCATCAATCGCTCATTTCGTCCCTCAATCCTACCTGCTTTGCGATTTGTACGACAATCCGCAATTCGCGATGATGATTTCCCGCAGGCGCAAAGGTCGCTGAGGCGCCGCTTACAGGCTGTTCCATGCCTGACAGCGTCAAATGGTCCAAGGATGGGCACCGGATGGTCATTGCCTGTGAAGGCGAGCCGACCACACAGGTGCGACATACAGTAATAATAATAATAATAATAATAATAATAATAGTAATAATAATAATAATAATAATAATAACAATAATAATAATAATGTACATGTCGACGTCAGAAGCAGCATACTGTACTACACTTTACAACACTGTACAATGTTGTACGACACCTTGAGGTGATAGCTAATCGTCCGTCGGTGACCGATTCCCTGATCATAACAATTTGCCTGACACGATTTGCAAGAAGGGGTGATGTGCCCAACAGAATCCTAACTTTTCCGTAGGCGGTGCGCTGGTCTGGCAGCTCCCACGCTTTGGTGCATGAACGATACCTGGAGCTGCACCACTACATCCTAAAGACTTGCCTCGAAGGGCTCTCCGCAAAGTTACTCGCATCACTTCGCCTCCTGAGCCTGTCCAAGACTTCAACCAACATAACGGGCCCCACACGTGACAACCGTACAACAGTATTTGCTCGAACCTGCGTATGAAAAACACCTCATGCTCACATCCGCGGCGAACAATTTTAGCTTATCCAATTTCGTACTCAGCGCAAACATAGCTGCCGTATCTGTGTCGTACAGCTGATGGCGGCAGGGCACGAAACGGCTGTTCTGGCCCATACATTGAACCCAGAGATCGCGCACGCTCCTTAGCCGGAACGGCATCACCATACCTCTAACCTTTTAATACTACCAATTTGGTCTTTTTATACGTGTGTATGATACTTACGTGTACGTATATATATATGTCCTCAATTGCTCTCATATATATGCGTACGTCAGCTGCTTGTACGGCCCCTACCGCTGCTGCCCAATATATTTCGACAGGAGGTCCAGGGGTCGGACCCCCTAGTAGAGCCCAACCCGTCTGGCGCTATCGCGATTGCCTACGTCAGCGTGTCGTCGTACACCCCGGCGGGCGCCAGCTGGCCTGTCGCAAGCTTCAGCATCAGCATCAAATTACTGGACTACCAGGTCAGTTCGTATGTCTGTCTGTCCGTCCATGTATGTATTGTGTATGTATGCATGTATGTATGCCATGGGAGGGTTTTCCGTCGAAAGGTAGGCTCAGCAGATTTACAGAAATAAATATAGGCTCGCAGTTTTGAAGGCAAAGCAGGAAATCTGTAGCTGATACCCTGGCTGTCCTGGACTGCAGCGGCTGCTGGTCCAAGCATCTTTAAAAAATTACCCCGGACGGTGCAGCCGATGCCGGATATCGAACTTGGTATGTAGTTGGTGATACCCATACCAAGACCAGGCGCTGTTCCCTGTTCGAATCCTCTAGGCAGCTACACACACCAGCTCAGATGCCAAGCAATCTCCGTCCTGTTGTATGTTGTATCTACTTCCACTGTTTAGGTGGTCGTGAAAACTACCGATTAGTGAATGAAGGCAGGCTAAATGCCTCAGCGATAATGACGACTTGTACAGCAATCTGTACGATCCGAGAATGTAGTCGTCATCGCGAAGTAGTATCACCAATCGTTGCAATCGTAACCCAGTGACAAGTGTCATCACGATAATAGCAAGAGCGCTATAACCCCCCAGTATCACGCATGATAAAAGATAAGCAAGTGCCCAAAGGTTAACCAAGTAAGAGCGAAGATAATGCCAAGTGGCGAAGTGCCAGAGTCTCGGGGAAATTCCGAAGGTAATTATGCAAGTATGCCACAACACGTTCCACCGCGCGCATGCTGTACAGTCGCGCAATCGACCAATGCACTCACACTGGTGCCAGTCTCCATCCTATCCTTGCGAATCCCGCCGCCGCCCGGTTACGTTATCCAACCACCATCTGGTATACAGCCCCTGGTCCAGGCCTTCTGCAGAATATACACCTCCGCCATGCTCTGCGGCAGGGTATATATCTTCATGTTGAGCTCCCACTCCAGCCGCCCAGTGCGCTGGAGGAACACAATATGTCTCATTTCAGCCAACGGCACTCCCGGGGGACCAGCTGTGAGTTCCGAACTCACAACTTCAGATTAATTTACATCTTGTCTCTGGAATTTAAACTCCAGACTTGCCAGTTGTCTAGCCCGGTCCTTTATCAACTTGAGCTACGCCGGTATGTGTGAAGGTGTCGGTGTGTGCAGTTGTAAATTACAAGTATGTGACCGGGCCTTACACTGGCCAGGGGCTGCTGCCTAGCCCCAGCGGAAAGACCGCCTAAGAGTGTGTGTGTGTGTATGTGTGTGTATGTGTGTGTATGTGTGTGTATGTGTGTGTATGTGTGTGTATGTGTGTGTATGTGTGTGTATGTGTGTCTGTGTGTGTCTGTGTGTGTCTGTGTGTGTCTGTGTGTGTCTGTGTGTGTCTGTGTGTGTCTGTGTGTGTATGTGTGTGTCTGTGTGTGTCTGTGTGTGTCTGTGTGTATGTGTGTCTGTGTGTCTGTGTGTGTATGTGTGTGCATGTGTGTGTATGTGTGTGTATGTGTGTGTATGTGTGTGTATGTGTGTGTATGTGTACACATGTGTGTATGTGTGTTACACATTCTGGAGTTGCGTTACTCTCCAAAGGCGTAACCTGCGGGCCACACATACCTGGAGCCCTGAGGGGCCCCAAGGGCCAGTAATCTAGAGGGCTGTCCGAAATGGATAAAAACGCAAAAGGAATCGTAAGACTATTATCCTATCACTCAACACTAGGAAAGAGAAGGCGGCACTATTTCACACTAATTGAGCCACCCGGACCGGTGTGCCTCTCATATTGCAGCGGCATGGCATGGAGATGTCCGTGTGTCTAACTATGCGTGCGTGTGTGCCGTCTACAGGGTTACATTGACTCTCTGAGCAACTCGGCGTACAACGCGCTGTTGGCCCGAGGCTTCCGGATAGATCCCCGCTTGACCAAGGCAACCGCAGGTGTGTGCGCGTAGTAGCTGCCGTACAGTACGGTATGCATGAATAACGCACACGCGCTAAATAAAGCGCGCTTACAGCACCCCAGGATGCCTATTCGACGGCCAGCTGCTGCAGTGCGCATATGTGTCGGTCGTGTATCTCATTAATGACCTGAGCCGCGAGAAGGAAATGGCGTGTGTATATGTGTATGATTGTATGCATGTATGTGTGTCTGTATGTGCGTGCTTGCTCGTTGCTTGCTTTCTTGGTTGCACATATAGAGCAATGCCTCTAGCATGTGTGTCGCTGTGCATGCATGCACGTACGTACGTATGTATGTATGTACGTGTGCATCATGTGTGTCGCTGTGCATGTCCGCTGGGTACATTTCTGCGTCCGGTCAGATCAAAAGAAGCATGTGATGACATATCACCTGCGACCTGGCTTGCAGCACACCTATCGGTCCAGAAAGTATCTCCACACTTTTCAGTCCGTTTTTTACTTCCTGGTCTTTAATTACCACCCCCCCCATCTTCGTACTTAGCCCCGTGTGTGTGCTTGTCTGCTACCCTCAGCCAAGGATATTGAGCCTGAGTACGTGGCCTTGCACAGCGACCCTCAAGTAAACCTGGCGTACGTGACTCTACAGGTGAGCAGGCTGTATGCACTTATGTATGTCCACAAAGCGATTGCTACAAATAGGTAGAATGCAGTCGTGGCGAAATACCGGTGGTTGTACGGCACGAAAGCCGTACATTGCGAATTCTTCCACTTCGATCGTGAGGGCCTTGGTGATGAGGCGCTAAGGGATGGAATGGCGGTCGTGGAATACGCGCGCGACGGGGACAGATGGCTCGCCACAGCTGAATATTTCGCCACATTCTGAGGGGCTGCTGAGTGAATCCTAGTACGCCCTGGCAGCAGCTCTTATCTGTGGTTGGTGCTGCTTTTGGTGCCGCTGCTCTCGGTTGTTGCTGCCGGCGCTTCTATTGCTTGCCGCTGCTGCCGCTACAAGCGATGTGCAATCGCTGCTACCGCAATTGTGTCCTAATTCGCGCCTGGCTGGGTTCCAACACGCACACGCACGATTTCTCTTGTGTTAAAACCTTGTCTTCCGATGTGATATTTGCCGTACGGTGCTGGCCTAGATCTCTCTTCCGGCCTTCGTTGGGCTATACATACATACGTACAGTGTTATGTATGTTTGGGTTCTGGCAGGACCTCTCATTTGTTCGTTCTTATTATTATTTTACTGTAATTCATTCGTTTGCACATGCATGCACTCAACTTACCCTACCTCGCTCCACAAATACACACATACTTGGCACCTGCCGGTGAACGAGGGGGTCTTCTGATTGTAGTGTCCCGCCGGATACACTATATATTAGGGGGTTCTCGGCGGGGTCCCCGGCGGCTTTGGTTTGTCCCATCTTTAAGAGCTCCCCCAAAGAGGGCCAAAGCACGGGCCCCACTGCCATCACTTTACATTATTGCTATTTCTTCGCATGCATCGCCAGGAGAACAACGCCGTGTCTGCTATCGACCTGACACCGGGATCTGAACGCATCCTTTCCATCTGGCCATTGGGTCTCAAGAGCTGGAAAGCATCACCCGTGGATCCCTCGGACGTGTGAGTGGCTGCGAGTGATGTGATTTTATCCAAAAATAAAAAAAGCGCCTATTCATTAGTCCTTAGCGGAAAAATTGGGAACGTGATTAGCTATGATAAAGAGGAAGGCGTGTGCAAGGGAAAACCCCCCGAAGAGGTACGTAAAATAACCCCGTGCTAGCTTGCTTGATGATATTAATCCGTATGTATGTACCGCGTGAAGTCCGATTCCTGAATGTGTCCTGCTGTGCTGCCCGCCTGAAATCAATCGTCCTTATTCCCATCTCCGTACCGTACGGCGGTCTCTGCTGTATGCTTACAGGGACGGCATCCGTATTCGCAACCACACCGGTGTGTATTCTTGGTACCAGCCAGATACAATCGTGCACGCCACCATCGGCACGGGCTCCTACCTGTTTATCGCCAACGAGGGTGATAGCAAAGGCGAATCCCGCCGCGTCAAAGAACTTGCTTCGCTGGACCCGTACGTGTTCCCTAACGCGAATTTAACGCTGCAGGCAAGCGGTCCCAAAAATAAAAAGGCACACACATGGTTCTGTTGTTGTTGTTGCTGATGATGATGATCTGCAACCTCGCCTACACAATTGCGTTAAAAAAAGCCTCGATCTGTCCAGAGGCAGAAGATAACTGGTAGTGAATGTGATGACCAAGCGGCGGCAGGTCCACTAGCCTTTTTTGCTCTTGGCTTGAATTAAATAAATATTATTATTTAATTTTTGGACATTTTTGCCGCTCAGGGGAGATCGCTGCTGCTTCTGCCTAGCGATTGAGCAGCCGCTTCCCCAAAACTCTCCCCCCCCCACACACACAAACACAATCATTATTAGCCACACCACGCAGGATTCCGAACTGGGACGTCTGAACGTGGACCCCCTCTTCGGACTTAAGAAGGGCTACAACACCAGCCGCGCATGGAATGCGCAAGGGCCGTACAATAAGCTGATCGCGTACGGCGGACGCTCGTGGTCTATCCTGGACGCCAAAAACGGTAACAGTACATTCGGACCTTCGAGGTGCTCTATCTACCATCTATGATATGATACACACACACACCGCAAGCTGCCAATTGGAAATCGGGTTCATTATTCCCTCGCTGCTGTTCCGCATACGTAGGGTTTTATTATTGGCACGTCGCACATGTATCACTCGAATGTAAATACGCAGCGTATAGTTAGAGATAGAGATATACGTGCACGGCTTTTGCGAACCGACTGCTAACTGACTCGTGGACCAGCTGGGGGGGGTCAGCTAGGGAGGCCCCCCTTGGAGACTGGGAACGAGCTTCCGATCGAATGCCGCCGTCAAAAACAAGAACACCCCCCCCGGTATGGGCACCGCGCCACCTGGCAGTTGCGATGTGCAATATAATTTTCTGTAATGAGTCTTATAGCAGCAGTGGAAATCCATATATATACATACATATATATATTATTTCCTTTCCAATGCACATTCATCCATCTCTAGGGCGGCTGGTGTATGAGAGCGGTTCATCCATGGAAGCAATCTTCGCGGCGCATCCCGTCGCATCGCAGTGCTTCAACTGCGATCGGGATCGCAATGACCCGGACAGCCGGTCTGACAATGCCGGACCCGAGCCCGAGGCATTGGAGGTCTTCCAGTTGGGCAGCCGGTGAGTGAGTGATGATGATGATGATGATGATGGTGTTTCGCAATCAGCAGGGCAAAATTGAAAACAACAACGATGTTTTTGTTTTTTTACTGACAGTACGTACGGACGTACGTCCTTGCTTGGTTGGGGAACTGCAGGACCTACGCGGCTATTGGCCTGGAGCGTATGGGCGGCTTCCTATTGTACGACGTCTCCGTACCTTCCGCGCCTGTGTTCGGTGCTTACATCTATAACCGCAACTTTTCCGCTCCGCGTACTGCCCCTACCAGTGCACTTGGCGACCTGGCACCTGAGGGGGTGAGTGAGGGCACTGAACGAGCAAGTCTCTGGGGGCGCATGCGCACACGTGCACTCGTCCCTCACACACACACGCATGTCCCGTATATCCCGCCATGTATGTTTGTATGTATGTATGTGCAGATCCGATTTGTTGACGCCAAGGACAGCAGCAGCGGCACTGCACTGATATTGATGTCAAACGAGGTGAGCGCTACCGCCAGTGCATGGAAGGTGACGGCCTGCTGAAGCTGAAGCAGAGCTCACTTTTCCAGACGCCAGTTAACATACAGCGGCGATGGCAGACCTGCTGCGCAGACGGCGGCGCCTTGTGCGGCAAGATATAGTTTGCCTGCCACTGATGCTCCTCCTCACCATCATCATCATCAGCAGGTTCACCATCCTCAAATTAGCCCTCTCGCAGTAGCTACTTCCTTACCAGACCACTGGGGTGAAATTAACTCTCCGAAAAGCATATTTACAAAAGATGTTAGCCTGTCGATGCCTTATCTAATCGTGCGTGGTGGCCCAAGAAGTACGGCAGCGATGTACAGCAGGCCGGGATGTCGCCGCCGGCGCTCAATTATTGTGTGCCTGCCATGTGCGTGCGTTGTTAGTTCAGGGGCGGCGAATGATAGCAGCAGTTCGCGTCGCCGCAGCCTATTATTGCATGCATGCGTCAACAGGGCCTGCCCGACATTAATCACGTGACATGTGTGTACGTGTAGATGCATACATTTTTTGGCTGAGCTAAGGGCTCAGCTGCAGCAGCAGCAGCCTCCCCAGTGCTGCTCACCTCATCTAGGAAATCAACTTGATTGAGCGCTGCGCCCTACCTGCCAGGTAGCACCAGCTAGCTGTCCATGCTAGGTATATGTGTGTGCATGTGTGTCTATTTTCATGCAAGCTGAAGCTGCTAGCGTACTTTATTATCGGTGGTATCCGCCGTCGATCGAATCCTGCTCCAGTCAGCGCAGCGATGATTGTTATGTGTGATTGGATATGATGTTTTTTGTGGCTCATGCACACACGTCAGCAAGACTGAGGTGAAGCGGATGATGTGTGCGTTGTATTATCAATAACTGATGACCAAGCGCAAAGCTATCGTTACGTATTTACTGCTCCTGGCGGTTGGAGCCTGCAGGCACTTGCATGGATAACGGCAGCAGCAGGTTAGATGGCTAGCCGGATAATTGACGATTGGCCGCACTTCCATCCCATGTTTCCAACAGATACAGCCGAACTGGTAGCTACTAGCAGCTAGCTAGCAGCTACCAGTAGGTACATGTACCTAGTAGGTACATGTGTGCGACCTTTGGCCTGAGGATCACGCACTGAGCAGATGGGATAGATTACGTATGTTATTAGTTGTTTCAGTTGCTTGCTCGGGTGCATGCAGATCTGATCTGCTTTGTCCAGCGCGGTGAATAGGATGCCGTTTGGCGGGTTGGTTGTCTCTTCGGTGGGCTCTTCGGCCGCTTTCGTTCCCGGGCTTCTGCTGGGGAGGCTTCATCACTTGAAAGAATTGTTGTCCACTAAAAAGTGGGCCAATAGGTTGTTAGCCGACCGATTTCAAACGACGTGCCGGCAGCCTTGACCGGTTTAATTTCGTTATGCTTGGCTCGAGTGTGTATTATTACGACTTCTATGCCGATATGTCTACACATTCAACTTTGTCTGGGAATGCCTTGGCCTTGGCCGCTTATTGGATGTCAACGAGGTGGGGGGTGTAGCCGGAAAGTTGAGCCCAACGGTCTATGGGAGGGTTCCCAAATAGGTAGTGAATATCTATTCTGGTATGGCGCACATCAGGCGGGAGGTGGATACTGTGTGTTCAAGTAAAGTGCCGTTGCTGGCCTTATCACTTGCAAGCGCGTGGGAGTCAACAGTAAACGGCGGTTGGTGAATGCAGGCCAATCTACAAAGATTGTGGGAATGCCCTCAAATTTTAAAGCAGGAATGGCAATGGGCAACTGCTTCGACGCAAAGTCTTAGAACGTAAATGCCCACTTGCAAAACTCATGGCAAGATGTTTTGCTGTATTACACGTAGAGCAACAAACGCCGCGGATCAGCGCGGATGAAGGCTCAATCCCCGCAGCGCTGTCATCACTGCCATGAACCGGGAACCATAACAATAATCAAATTCTTCGAAAGTGAAATGAAATTATAGCATTATCAAATGTTAACCCTCCTCTACACGCACTATCCAAAGCAAGTTATCACTAAGGTCACGTAACCGCTGTCGCCCAATGTCTGTTAGAGAGTTAGAGTAGCCACAAAAATCATACCGCGGCTATAACTGAGCAGAAGCAGCCATAAGACTTTATGTGCACACAGGGAACCTAACAAGCGATCGCTCATTACGCGCGAGTGCGTGCTAGCGTACACGCGGACCAGCAGCACCAGCACCAGCAGCAGGAGAAACAACCGCCCATCTGGTGTTGAGTACCCCGCCCCCTTCGGCGGTGATTGGCAGGCCATCAGAGCCGATAAAGACCCTCACAACGCAAACACGATCATGCGGGAAGCAAGCACTTTGAGCGCGCGCAGCAGTTCTGTGTGTCATAGTGTCAATAAACAGAGATACATAAAATGAACAGCATCAACCAAGCATGCACCAGAGGTCACGTCGTCTCTTCATTCCTACGTCAGTCGACGTTCATGGCGCATATGACTAGTGACTGTCGGCTACGACTGACGGCAGGGCCCAAACGGACTCAAACAGAACGCGGTAATAAGAAGGCAGCGTCACCAGTACCTCCGTCCGCCCTATCCGCACCGCTGGTCATCCAGCGGTGGTGGTGTGCTTATAGCAGCAGCAGCAGCAGCAGCAGCATGCAGGGGTCAGCATGCAGGGGTCAGCAGGGGTCAGCGGTCAGGCCGGCGGTATAGAACTGCAACAGAGACAGCTAATCAGCTCCGCCGGGTACCGCAGTACTTACAGAAGGCAAGACCTCGACTTTTAAAACCCTAAAACCCTAAGACCGTAAAAACCCTACAAAAGATTATTTTATTAGTAATCTGTACGGTACAACAAAAACAAGATGCGATGCACGCCACGCATACAGATAAAACGCTCCTAGCCCAAGCAATGAATGTTCCGGTGTGCTTTTGTGCTTATAGCCATATTAAACATGCTCCGCATGCCGTACTTACTATGCTGCCTAAGAGCATATCATGCTACACCGCGTTACCGACTGCACTAAGCTAGCGGCGATGCCAAGCAGAGAGTATATATATTCGCCTAAGAGACTCAGTCTGCTAAACAGCTTTACGCTTGTGGGTTTGTCACGTACAAGCCGACTGTGCCTAGTTGGCATCTCCAACCCAGCCCCTAATGAAATCTCCCAGTCAACCAACCAACAAACCAACCGACAAACCAACCAATAAACCAACCGACAAACCAACCAACAAACCAGGTAGGTCGCCCTATGAGTTACATACATGCACACAGACATGCACATTGAGGCGCATGCACATGCGTTATTTGCACAACCAAACGCATACATGCACACAGACATGCGTTAGGGTCAAAAATCCTTCCGTATTGCGCCCCTAGTTAATGGACGGTGGTGACCTGGGATAAAGTTAACCTGCGAGCCGACCAGGAATGGAGTTGGGCTGCCGTCGACCCGGCAGATTCCATTGGATGCTGGTGGTGGGTGCGGAACCTGAGCGATCCACTGAGAAGTTAACTAGGGTGACTGGATGAGGGTGCCCCGAAATACCGGGGAAGGCAGGGTTTCGCAGGGTAGCTGCCACGGGCAAAGATACACCCCCCTGTTTCACACATCATATATTATGCACACAAACATATAAACATGCACACAACCACCAGGCATGTACGTGCACAAACAAGAAGATTTGCGTCCTCACAAAGAGAAAAGAGCGCGCACTTGCAAAGGTCACGCATATACACCTACTCTGAGGCGCTTTAAATCCGGCGCTTGTTGTATCTGTCGGCGAGGTGATCATCATCCGGAGCTCGCGGGGTTGATTACTAACCACGACGACGCCCCAGCTGCCAATCCAGCTGGCGGGCCAAATAAACAAGCTACCCACCTATTCACCTGCCGTTGCACTACTGCGACTGAGCGAGGGCTCGTGATGCGCCTTGCCTTGCCGCCACTCGCGGCTTCTTACCCCGCTCATTGCAGCAGCTTACCACTCTTCGGATTCTCGTCGTTCCGCCGGGTGTACGTGCGCATCACTACGTACGTCGCTCCTCATCAAAATGCCTTACCGTCATCATTTCCTGCCTGACTCTCACTTCTCCTCACTTCTCAGGAACTGAATATGTATTCAGTTCCTGGCTGCCGTGGCTGTTTTAAGGGTTTTTGCCCTGCTCATGGCTGCCATGGCCATTTTAAGGGTGTCTGTCCTAATAATGTAGACCCGTGCGGGCCCATCTCGCACGACTGCTATCTGCTGTGAAGCTCTATCTGCAGTTAGTACTAACTAACAAGAAAGACGCCAAACCGCTGCGCAAACCACAGCAGCAGCGTAAGCGCACCGCTCTGCTGCCATCCTGCATTGTCGCCGCAGAGTTATCCGCGATAACGTTATCACCTTGTGACGTTATAACGTTATGACGTTATAACCTTGTGACATTATAACGTTATGACGTTATGACGATGCGCAACATTTCTCTTATAACACATCTGCCTCGCCACACGTGTGAGTCGTCCTGTAGTATCGACGTGCCGCCGGTGTACATTCGTACATACATGCATACATGATACCGACTGCGCATATCTATCTTCGTGTGCCATCGTTCATCAGCTGCTGCAGCTGCTGCGTGTAATACCGTAGATAAGCCCGACGTGCACCAGCTCCTGCCTCATCTGTCTATCTATCCATCTATATATCGATCTGTCTATCTATCTATCTATCTATCGATGTATCTATCTATCTATCTATCTACGTACCGCGCCAAGATGCGTAGCTAGTGGCACTGCCAGCAGTGAATATCCTTCCTCCGTGAGCTCTGGTCTGCTGCTAACATGCGCTGCTGGCTGGCTGGCTAGCTGGCTGGCTGGCTGGCTGGCTGGCTGAAGAGTTCCGTCGACGATCTCGAATAGCGGACCGCGATCCTGCTGCTGCCCTAGTCCTCTGCGGCTGTTGACATCTCTCTGCTTTGTCATATGGTGTTGCAAAACGATTATCTGTCAGAACCAACAACAAATATTTTCTGTTCCTTTCCGCTGCTGTATCCACCACATCACCACATCACCACTTCTCACGTGGCAAATGGAGGAATGGTTGTGATGTTTGCAAGTACTGCGATGTTGAAGGGGAAGGTGTGGTGGCAGGCAACGCAGCCAGGGAAGTATGTAAGCCGGAGGTAGGCCGCGGAGCCATGCGTCGTATTGGATCTCAATTTCGGAGTCTAGCAACGAGTGAATAAAAGTGAGCGTGTGAATGTATAGTGTCTTTTCCGACGTCATGATTGCCAAGAGCCACGAAAATGAGCGGCGAATGTGCGTACCACGAAAGTGCGCTTACAACGACGTGTAAAGGATGATGTAATTATGTTTTGCCAGAAACGAGTTGAAAAGTTGCGATGCCGAGCGAGTGCAGTCGTGATGCGTGCGCTAGCGGGTGTCGGACGATCGACGATCACCTAGCGATCGGAGGACATACGTCAGAGCCTTTTTCGCTGGATCCGTGGCATGGTCGATGGTCCCAATCGTTCCAGTGGAAAAACGGTTCTTCATCATCAGCTACTTACCGTTCGCCGCGACAAGTCCGTCGTCCGGATAGTTCCCGGGCGGCGAGTACCTGCAGACCACCACCTTGCAGGCTCCCGGGTACGTGTTGCCAGAGGAGAAGGTAATTGCCTGAGTCATCAAGGCGACTCCGCAGCCGATTGCAGTGCTGGACCTCCACACCTAAACGTACGCATGCATGTATGTATGCATGTATGACTTAGATTACACTGTGGGCTGCGAGAGCCGGGGGCCGAAGCCGAAACACAGCGCAAGGGTCGGGAGCACACAGCACAAGTCGGTTAGTCTTGTGTGCTCCCGACCCCGACTCAGACTGCCAACACTCTACGCAACCACTCCGCCGCCCCTCCATCCGGGGATGGCGCTGCAGTGAAAACACCACGAAGGGTTCTCAGGTCCCGCTAGAGCGAGTCCACAAGTCTCAGCTAGGGCAAAGTCAAAGGCTCTCTGAAACAACCCCCCAAAACACCACCAACGAAAACGGGATCCTAAGGGAGGAAAACAAACAAACAAACAAACAAACAAACAAACATGTATGTATGCATGTATGTATGTGGGATAGGTTGGGTAGGGTTATTAGCCGCCGACCCGTAATCTATCAGCGTATCATCATCGCATCATACATACATGCATACATGCATGCAAGGCCACATACGTATTACTGGATTGTACATGGCGAGAACATGCTGATGGATAGCGATGGGAGAGAGAGAAAGGCCATGCCAATTGTCAGGTTGCCAGGTTCGTTCACACCAGCCCGCGAGCCGTCTCAACATACCGTCTGCGAAAAGTGTCCAACTTCATTTCTGAAGTCGTTGTCATGAAAAGGACGCAGCGCCTCAAAATTGAAGTTTTGGACCTCGTCGTACCAGCCTTCAATGGCTTCTTTACAAAGTCCATCAGGCCATGGGAATGACAGTACCTGGATGATTTGTTTAAAGGTGGAAGGAAGGTCGCAATAAGTAAAAGGCAAGGGGGAAATGAGTTAGGAAACAGAAAAAATAGAGGCTTATCACGGAGTAAACACCGACAGGATTATGAGGCGTAGGTAAGGGGCTGGACGAACGGCCCCTGACATTGCCAAGAACGGAAGCAGCGCAAACGGTGAGCATTTTTCTGTGTGCTTGGCATGTGTGGCATATTTGTGGTGGCACTGTTGCGTTGGAGGGGCAAATGGGTGCGTGCATGTATGCATGTATGTATGTATGCATGTCTGCATGTGTATCTTCCATGCTGGCTAAACCGCAGGGGTATGCTTCCTAGGCAAGGCAAAACGAAACGAAAGGGGCTTGAAAAGGGCATGTGGATGCGTGTGGGCGCGTGTGTGTGTTTTCACCTTCCACATGAACACCCGGCAGCCACTGACAGGCAGCCCACCCTCTCGGGCCCCAGAAACACTGAGACAGACAGACAGACACACAGACAGACACATAGGAACAGTTGAACAGTCGGGAAGGCAGACAGACAGACAAATGTACCAACAGAGGGGCAGACAGCTATGCATGCTCACCGAATAGAGATTCTCACCCACACTACCGTGTGTCAGCTCGCACTGCTGGGTCACTAAGCTCTCAGCGTAGGCCTGAGAGGCAGCGGCCAAGTTAACGTCCCAGGTCAGAGGCGGCGCCTGATGAACCGCCCGGTACAGGTTCGTAGTCGCCAGGAGCTGCTGAGCATCGGGACAGGAGCCACCTTCGGGAGCGAAGGCAAGGGAGGCAAGGGCTCTATCCGTGGGATGCTGTATCCGTCGTACTCTGTCGCGTTGTAATATGTGTATTGTGTAGTGCCACGTTTAGTTAGTATTTTATGTCGTGTATATTTTGTCCCGTGTGTTGGTACCGTGTCGTTTTCCGTGTCTCGTGCCACGTCATACCTGTCGTGTTCGTCATACCATTTTGTCTTATATATCTAGTATCGTGCCTTGTTGAGCGTCCGGTATTTCTTTCTTTTTCGCCGAGAAAGGAGGGACGGGTCCCAGAAGGACTTTACGGACCCCGCGATGCTTCTTCAGCCGACACGAGTGCGGTCAGTACAGGCAAACAAACATCAGGCGTCGTACCTAGGCTGCCACGAGTGATCGGTACCAACGAGAAACAAAATTTGCGGGCTCACCGCATTGCTGCGTTCAACGGCCATTACTCTGAACATTTTGCCACGACGACCCTTCTTACAAAATGGTGCTTGATGTTTATTCCGTTGTTTCCCGTTTGGCCCTATCAGCAGGCAGCAATTGTGATGCGTGCCTTGACGGCAAGACACGGTTTCTTCCTGCAGTACATGCATCCTACACGGAACGTACCTGGCAAGGCTTTGTTCGGAACCTGGGAGGGCAGCCTAGGCAGAGGAGATGGCGGTGGTGAACGTGGTGAGGAGGGCGGTGGTCTCGGAAAGAGCGGACGAGGGGGACGGGGTAGCTGCAGTGGCAGGGAGAGCCGTGGTTGTGGAGGCGGTGAGGAGGAGGATGGTGGTGGTAGCGGGTGTGGTGAAGGTAATGGTGTGGATGACGATGGAGGTGAGCTTGGTCCAGGCGGTGCTGCTGACGGCGATGACAAGGACGGTGGTGATGGCAGTAGGGGCATCATCAGCGACTCCGTAAGAAGTGACGAAAATGAGGACACTGGGAGCGTCATAGGTGGACTTGAGAGCGGTAAAGCCGATGGATGTTGCATATCTTGGTGAGTCGGGGGTTGTGCAGGGGAGATAGGTGCCCGGAGAGGTGTGGACGGCGGCGTGGCAGGAGTTTGGCGTGACCCGGTAGGAGTCGGAGGGGGAGGCGGAGAGGGTGCCGGAAGATGGAAGGTAGGTTGCGGTAGTAGAGGCGGTCGGGGAGGTGCGGGAGGCGGCGAGGAAGGTGGCGAAACTGTCGGAACAAGCAAAGGTGAAGTTAAAGATGAGGGCGGGGGACCTCTGAGAGGTGCTTTAGGTCGAGGGGTTGGTGTCGGAGATCGCGGTGCCCGAGGGCGAAGTGGGATTGTAGAGACGGGGGACGGAGTAAGAGCCGTAGGAGTTCTGGCCGGCGTGGATGGGAGAGGTGAGGATGGGCTGGGAGGGGCAGGTGGACGGCGGATAGATGGCGGCACACGGAGTTGAGCTGGTGAGGGACGAAAGGGCGGAGGGGACGGAGGACTGCGTTGCGGCGGCGGTGTTAATGGTGACGGTGGCGAGGATGAGGAGATGGATGTGGGAAGTGGAGATGGACGGGAACGTGAAGGAGGTGGGGGGAAAGGAGGAGGAGGCTGCGGACGGGGTGGAGGGCCGAGGGTCACTGAAGGTCGGGCCGGAGTAGGAAGGTGGCCTGGTGAAGGGCGGGGAGAGGAGAGGGGAATGCGAGGGAGGGGCCGTGGAGATGGAGGAGAGGGTGGCAGAAGACGTGGAAAAGATGCTGATGGGGGTTCAAGTCTTTGGCGCGGTGCTGGGCTCAGGGTTCGTGGGGAGGGCAGCGCTGTCGGAGATTGAGGCGACGGCTTTGGTGGAGGCAAAGATCCCGGACGAGGACGAGGAGGAGACGTGAGTCTTGCTGAGGTAGGAGGTGAGGGCGGCGGTGAAGCTGGGGTCCATGGGGCCCCAACAATGGGACGCCATGTAGGCCGCGCCAAACCCAGGTAAGACAGACGGGTCAAATGGGATCGGTAGCGGTTTGTCGGAGGCGTGGCAGCGGGCCCGTCTAGGGACCCAGGCGCCTCTTGCGAGAGCTGCGTTTCTTGAAAGGGAGAAGTGGGAGGGGGAGATTTGTCCGGCTGACCATTCGGCAGGCTAAGCGCCAGAGGAGTCCCAGATGGCTCCAATGGTGTTTTACTCTCGAGGCTGCTCCAAGATTGGCCCTGGCGTGCGCAGTCATGGACTTGGGGTCCTGAACGGGAACGGAGGCAGGGCATCAGACTTAGTATTAACCATTTGAGTGCGCACAAGATATGTAGGTGATGCCTCTTTGATGTGCTGTTATGCAATAACTTTTCCAAGCGTTGTCCTGTGGTTGTCCTAATGTTCAGGTTGCCAGATCACAGAACGAGTTTCAAACTTACTGATTTCGCACTACACTTCGAGCACCTCAGTGGCGGACACATTATTATGAAAAAGCAGGACATATAAGTAAAGAGCATTCGTTAGCGAGGAACGGTTTCCGAGGAAACGGGCTAACAAGTACTCGCTGCATGCATCGGCATTACGTATAACATAACTGCAGCAATTTACATATATATAGCCAGCAATGCAAAAATCGAACAAAGACTATCTTGACCCGCGCTTGCATAAAGCTGCCTGACGCGGGTGACGCTACTCTCTCATCTGTCTGACATCCACGACACGAATGCGCAGTGACTTGCAGGACTGTCTCCTTACCTTCCAAGGCGCTGTGTAAAGCGCACGCCGCTCCTGCGGCCCAGAACCAAGTAAGGAGCAGCCTCCCAAAGATAATCCTTAAAAGCGCCGTTGTTGCCCCCTGCCTTGCCGGCACACAGTCTAATCCCATTTTCCGAAATGGATCAAATTTTAGTGCGCTCGTGCTACCGCGTGGCCCCAAGGCCTTGGCCTATATACCGGGATGCTATGCGCCGATTAGTAAGGATGATCGTTTATGGCCAAAGTCGGCACCGAACCGCGTGTCTGTCAGGTGCTGTTCAGGTGTAGCAGTCAGATTCCAGCGCTGCAACCCGATTCGGCATAGATGTGGAAACGGAATCCAACGCCGGTTTCGTGTTTGCTGTGAAGCATGCGCTTAGGGTAGGAGATAGACGATCGCTTGCACTATTGTACTGCAAAATGTAATTATGCCTCAATCTTCGCTGAAGCTCACACCGCAATCGACAAAAAGCCTATGAAACCGAAGGAATCGGTGCACGGCGCAGGGTGCAAAAAATCACTAGCTGCTTCTCTTACCAAACACCTGCCGTATCTGATGCACCTGTTCCACTCTTTCGCCGAGAGAACCTCGTAATCAAATAAAGCAATTCTGTGCAGCAGCCTGCTGCGGAGGGTAAAAAGATTATCATTACTTAAAATTTACGGAATGAAATTTAACCAGTAACATGCGCGTCAACGTATAATTTCACAGGTGGGCTATTTGGCGGTCGAGTACGACGCCCGCAGTTAAATGGAGGCCATCGAGGCTCGATGTTAATCCGCGCCACAAAATTACCACCCTGCTTCAAGACCGTAAAACGTTACATACATTTCTTACCTTCTGTTGTATCCATTTGATGAGCCATGCATCTCGATAATGTAAATGGCCATTTCGAGTAGTATTTTCCAAAAATACTCTGACGAAGGCAATCGCTCTTCGAGAAAACGAGGTCTTGGGAAGCCTGCATAACGCACTTGTAGGCAGAAAGCTCATCTGGTTTTGCCATTATGACAGGTCATGGCACAGGCATACTGATGAATTACTGTCCTTCGCCCACATAGTTCGGTGCCCGCAGTGCTGTAATTCTTCGGTGCCAACGGACTTGCAACGCTTTTGGCGCCAGCATAAGAGTTTGGTTCCAGCAGGGGCACAGGCGGATGTAGCTCAACCCGCCACCATCGCCCGGATCACAATTTTGACAGGGACCACCAACCCGCCACAAAGCTTGGGACACAAACATCCCTACCCTGCCCTGCCCTCATACCGCTGCCAACGCCGCCCGGCACCCTCAAGAAAACGCCGTTATGGACTAGCTTGCCTAGCTCCACCCTCATCGACCAAACCCCATTGTCAGCGCCACGCCGACCGCTATCCCCGTTGTATTGTATGCCGCATGAGCCAGTACCGCTGGCACCACACTACCGGAGCCCAGCACCAGCCCCCCCGCACAGCCGCCCAGTAGCACAAAGGCGAAGAACTGCGGCAGGCTAAGGTGCGCAACTGCAAAGAGCGCCGCGGTGACGGCGACGGCATCCACGGCCCCGAGGCGCTGTTGCAGGGCAGTCAGGAGGAAACCGCGGTAGAGCAGCTCCTCCGCCACTGCACCGAGGAAACGTTGCGGGGAGCGGAAGGAGGGAGTATGTACGAGTCTATGAGTCGAGGGCGGAGAGGGGAAATGTGGGCGGGAAACGGGCGGGGAAGGGAGTGGAGGGGTGAACAGGACGTAAAACTGGGAACAGTCCCACCACATGACACACGCGCGCCACACCATCATGTGCTCGCACGTCGTCCAACATCACTCACTCGCTGGTGACAACGCACTCGTGGCCAGCACCCGCAGCCATTGTCCCGGGTCGTCGGGTCGCTGAAGCAAATCACCAAACAGCAGCCCCGCAGTAGCAGTAGCGGCAGCGGCGGCAGTAGCGGTAGCGCCAGCGTCGTCCGGGGCAGCGGCGGCAGAGAGCTCCGGTCCCAACCCAGCCAGTTGTGCGATATCGAGACCGGTACGGGCGGCGATTGCAGCTGCGGTGGCGACCCACAGCACTGGACCCAGCAAGCAACCTGGGGCATGCATGTGTCACGATGATACATGTCTCGTGGTGTCCACAAAATGTCGTCGTCTTGGCCATCTGAATAGGAAGCCATGTATGCATCCCCCCCCCTGTATGCCGTTCATGTATGCGGGTTTTACGTGCGTGTATACACTGAGCACGCAAGTGAGGGTTCGTTGGTTCTGACAAAAAAGGAAGGATATTCTGAATGTCTCCCGCCGAGCCCACACCATTTGTCTTGAGCGAGCTGGAAGCCAGTCCTGACATTCCGGGGGGCACTCAGATTGTCCCGTCAGGTATTTGTTTGATCACCGGAAGGAAACGGCCCAGGGGGCTCAGGGCCCCTGCCTGTATTAAAAGAACGGTCACAGCGCAGCGCGGCGCGGTAACCCCCCGACCTCCGGTATTCGGCGCGATTTGGAACCCATCTGGGGGCCCCGACCAATCTTTGGGGCCTCCTCGGGGGCCCCGTGGGGCGTCCCATTCCGCCTGGGCGTCCTTCGGGGCCGGTCCCCACAGCCCAACCCCTTTCCCTCCTAAAGCGATCAACAGTCAACAGTCAAAACGTCCCTGTGAAGTGAGCACGGGACACCGGCAGACAAAGACCCACACCCCTCTCGCCGATGTCCCGCACTCCCCACATCCCATACCTAGGCCACACACAGACACACACAGACAGACAGACATATCCACACACAGACACACACATCGACCCTAACGTAACCTTAAGATCCGGTTGCACACTCGTGAAACCCCGGGGGGGAACGGCGTTCACAACAAAACGTTTCCTTGAAAGACTTTAGAACCGAAACACCATGCGTTCACATGTTAGCGCGCGCTTTTTCTCGCTGTCCTGTGAGAAAAACACCTACCCGCCATCAGCCAGGATGGCCCGCAAGGCCGTAGCCGCAGCACCCGCCGGAGGTCCCAACCCCGCTCACGGCAGTAGTTGAGCGTTGGTAGTACGAATAGGCCCCACTGTACGGCACAAAGGTACAGTCCCGCGTCTCGGCCCCCCTGGAGTAGCACCGGTCCTGGGACGACAGCAAGGACAGCAGCAGCAGCAGTGTGCAGGGGTAGTACGATACTGCAGGAATACGGAGGCTGTGTCGATGTTTTCAGCAGCGCCGGGGCGGGGTGAAACACTACGGTGGGGACACTACGGTGGCGGCAGCGGATAAGAGAGTGAGAGGGAAAAAGGGAGGGCTAACAGGAGGCGTGGTGCGCGGTGCTTGGGTTGGCAACCTCACGGCAGCACAGTCCTTCCCGGCAGCAGTAGCAGCACAAAGCGTTTGTGGCATGGTGTGTTCAATTTCTGCACAGATGTGGCTTTGAGATTTGCAATCGCCTACCTAATGGCGTGAAGTCCGTTAAGAACAGGAGGCCCAGGACCGTGTAACACCACCTAGAATCAACAGGTACAGAACGTGACGGAGGATGTACGGGAATCGCGCGGGAATTATATGGGGATGGCACAGCGGCATGCTAGTAAATGATGTGCATCCTTCCTTCATCCGGTGCGCGTGTCCCGTCTCCCTCTGCCACCTCCCATATCGGTCAACAAGCCAAGGGGAGGTAGCTGAAAGGCGGAATACGGTACGGCGCCCCAAACGGGTTTGCAGCAGGTTGCTCCTCCGCAGCGTCCAACCCATCCCGGGGGGCCCTGGTCAGCAATTGACTGATCTAAGTTTTTGTACAGGTTTAGGGAGCATTTCCTAAAGCTGCTGCCTGGTCCACAACGAGGTAGGAGGATCTGTAGTCGAGCTGTACCAAAAGGGCCAGAGAGTGGGCTCAACAAACCAGGTGACATATCCGACTTCCGAAGAGGGAGGATTGGACACATTTCAACTTTGTCAACTCATACTATATCTTTTTCCATCTTAGCGACAAAAGCGCCTCTCGACTTGTGGCTTCTTGCGCAGGAAGCGACTACAAGGAAGCCCGCTCCGAGGAGCTCCGAAGCCCGCCTCTCTTGCAGCATAACCGCACCCACCAGTTGATGCCCTCCATTGCCGAAGGCACTTCGGCAGGTAGGTAGGTGGCTTCATCTGTATCTATCTCGGGAGACTTGGCTGGAATAAGGTCGGGAGCATCGTTCGGGGCCTCGGACTGTCGAGGCTGCATAGATGGCGCATCCGTACTGCTGGTGGTCCCTCCATCGGGAACACCCCCGAACCCTGTCACGCGGCCTTCGCCTAGATCACCACGGCTGTCGTTACTGTTGTCTATACCGCTGAGACCTCTTCTGCTGCCACAACAGCATGTGCTCCGGTACAGCTTGCCCGCTTCGAGGCGCCCGCGAGAGAGACAGTGCCGTGGCGTGGCTGGCCATGCAAAAACGATTGTATAGGAACAGCAGCTGTGATATCGTTGTCGTCCAGCAGGCAGCCTTGCGCATCTCGTATCTGAGGCATGCTGTGCTATGGAGCAGCGTGCCATCTGGCCTTCCATGTAGTAAGCAGTTGAAAGCATGGGCTGCTACCCTGAAACCATAATCGGAATATACAAGCACCTGTATGCATAGTATTTTGGTTAGTTTGGCAAAGTCCGTTCCCTGTGGCGAGAGATAGGGCCTTATGATGTCCAACTGGATGTATGGCAAAGAGCGCTACCGAGTTTCTTCTAGCTAACGCATAGCTTTACATAATTTGTACGCTCACACGGTGCAAGGTGCAGAGAAACAGCGGCCCGTCACTTTTTGCAACGAACACGCGTCCCTTTCCCACAAATCTTAAGAGACCAGGACACGAAGCGCGAGCAACATCCTTGGAATGTCCAAGCAACTCAAACAAGGTGGGTTGAGGTTTGCATGGATGTTGACCCGAGTTGGTCGAGGAGCTTACCGTGGCGGCCACCTTGGCTACTTGTGGAAGACTTGAAATTTCACTTTAAAACGTATTGATTTGTTCTGCGATTGAAGCTGTGACTTTGCCTTGAAAGCTTATGGTGCGAACAAGGGTTTGGGGGCGTTAGGGACAGCGGCGCAAATGTTTTTAGTAATCTTGTCAAGGACCGTGTTAGGGACCATGCAAGAGAGCGCTGGCTATTGTTTGCATCTTTCCTAGGAGAAGCGATGGAGCCTGAGGTTCCGTCGCCACCGTCTCCCCGGAGCGACGACCACAACGGATGGACCCTCGTCGAGCGGCCTAACGCTGACGGTGTCACGGAATCATTTGAAACAAGGTAAGAACAAAATTGCTTGGATGGATGCAGTGACAGTGGCTAGCACGACACCTGTCTTGACGTGGTCGTTGTCCTTTACTTGGACAGGCCGCGTGCGGCCAGCCCAGGGCCTGAACACGCAGCCGAGGCGTTGGGAGAGCAAGAAGATTTACAAGATGGACTCAAATCTCCTGCGGTACGTCAGTTAATGCTTTCCTGGGACATGGACAGGCCGGCAAAGTCGTTGCAACATGGTCGCGGGGCGCTCTCGATTGCAATGGAACACTTCGTGCGGTGCTCTTTTGCAGAGCGAACGTCTTGCGGATGATGTTCTACGTGAGCCTTTCCAAACTGGCGGGCCGCTGAGACTGCAAGTACGTCGGGAAATTGCGCTTTCATGCTCTTGTGCCGTCCTTCGAGGTGGCGACACGGCCCTTGCACAACATGCTAAACTCATCACAACAAAACGAGCGGGCCTTTAACCTACATGTGCCTGGCAGCTGGTGGTCGCTGCCAATCCTGGCATGCCTCTCTCCCGGACAGCAAGCTGACCCATAACGCCAGGGCCTTGACGCATGGATTGCACAAGATATCAAATGCAATCCCACCATGATCAGTTTTGTTTTCGCCACTGTAAATTCAAACCATATCCTTCCGATACGGAGCAGCTACACACCCCTATCCAGCAGCTCAGCATCACATCCACCTATCCGCTTCACCCCGAGTCTCCAAAAGCTTTTTGATTTCTGTGTCTCTGTTGCTTCCTCCAGCTGGCCGCGGCGCCATCCGGCCCCACTGTGGAAGAGCCCGCCACTCCCACCGGTGCTTCCGGCCCACACGCTGGATCCTGCGGTGACCTGTCCTGTCCGCATTTGCATGGCCAAGACCTCGACCACTTCCACTCCCTGGCTGACCATACTGCCGTGGCTGGCTGCTGCGTCGGCGCATGCGGTAATGGTGGCGGCGGCTCGTCGGGTTGGAACTTTGACCGACACCACCACGAGCGCCTGCGAGCTGTGAGCCGCCTATCCGGGGAGGGCGCCTTGGAGGGTTTCCAAGACCCGCAGGTGGGACGATGGATCCTTTTGGGAAGTGGCTGAACTGGGTCAGAGAGTCTTGGTATTGAGTGGGCCGATCTGGGTCAGCTGAGGGATGCGATAGGGCGATAGAATCTTTTCGGTTGGCGGTTGGAACTTCGGCAGGAATAACAACTTGAGCATCAGCTGCCTATGGTTACTCGAGGTAAGGATGGAGGCTGCGACAAAACTGTTGTGGCATAAGGCTGCGCTGACAGCCGACCGGCTTACCTGCAAGTATGGGAAGATTTTTATGGTTCGTGATTAGGATCCTTGGCCAAGCCAAGACATCGCGGCGCGGCGAGGTCGCGGACACAACGCTGCCTTGACTTTGGTGTATGTTCTCCGAAATGGGCTCGGCCCCCGTCGGCCTCCATCGGCTTCCTCCGTGTACAGTGAGTGGAACGCAACATCTCCGGAAGGGGCCCCGGCACCCAACGTTGCCTCCACCTCGACCATCCCACTCCATTTCTTCACTCCCTACACAGGATCTGCTGTTCGCCGACTCCGCGGCGCCGGGCGCAGCTGCGCGGGTACGTGGGAGGTTTTTTAACCCTCCGTTTTGGGAAGTTGGGAGGCAAAACCCTGCAGTACAAATGCATCGCAGTACGGGTGGATGGGGAGGTCGCTGGAAAGGCCAAAGAAGCGGCTTGCGAGCGGGCTATTGGTGGCCGGCCGGCAGCGCATATTGTTGTGCAGGAATGTGTTCACTAGCGTGTGCGCCGCGTTCACTAGCCGGATGCTTAGTCGCGTCTTACGATTGGCCGCCATGGCAGCTCCAGGAGTACCAGATGTTACTGCTCCCGCTGGAGAGGTGAGAGCAACCTCCCTCCTATTGAGGCAAGATGAGCTACACGCCGTTCTTGTGTTCAGCTCCGCCGCTACTTTTCTTCTCTGACCGCCTGCGGCGAGTGCGTGCGGGACGCACGGCATGTTACACCTACTGCGCCTACCGTTGACCGTTGCTTCTCGGTTTGGAAAGTGTGAGAATTGGCATTGTGTATGGATTCAGCATTTCGCCCAAAAGCCCTCGCACAAGATCACGTTACCTCCGTCCTACCAGCGCGTACCTCTCTGGCTGCTGCATGATCCCTGTCTTGTCATGGTGAATCCGCCGTGACCATGTACATCATGGTGAAGCACGTGCATCCCGGGAAGCCGCCGCGTGTCGATTACCCTGGTTGTCACCTTTGCCGGTCCGGTACATCGTATATATAATACCTGGCTCTGGCCTCTACTCGGCCTGACCCACCTGAAACTCCCGGTTTCAGTCTCCAAGCTCGTTCCGCATTCATCTCGGTATGACGTCGATTCGTTCGTTTCCGATTTGCTCCGGTCCGTTCCAGATCGGTGGCGGCACGGCCACTGACCTTTACGCTGAGGGAGATGCCGGCGGCAGCGGCGGCGCTGCAGGCGCTGGCGGCACGGTGTCGCTGGGCTGGGACGCCCTATTGTCCAACGTGTGGGTCGACCTCCTGCGCGAACTGGAGGATGTGCGGGCGCTGGTCACTATGACGGCGGCGGCGTTGTGGGAGCGAGTGCAGGAGGGCCGCTTGGCTGTCGCGGACTGGGCAGCAGCGGCACGCGAGTCGGCGCAGAAGGTAATGTTTTGACCTTGCTGTGTCTTATGTCTGGTTGTGTCTCTTTTATTATATAGGCCAAGACTACCCAAGACTTTGCTTGGACTTTCAACTAGGCAGGCGAAGGTTCTCGCTTGGACGAGGAGAGAATGACTGTGTTTTCTCACCATAAGGTCAAGAATGACGCGTGAAGCCTATGCCTAAGTTTAAAAGTCGGCACTTGTTTTTCCCGTGTTGACCCGTGGAACATGTTTTTACCAAGCTGCGGGGTAGTGGAGCCCTAAGTACATTACCGCTGCCAAAAAACACTAGAGACTTCGCATACAATTTCCGCTCATGTAATCTCCTGGATGCGACGGTTTCCTCCCCCCCGCACACACATCCTCAGACCGCCAAGTCCATGGGCCGCCCCGGCTGCCCTCTATGGACCCTGATTGGCATTAGCGGGCTGGCGGCCATGGCCCTCGCGGCCCTGGCGACCCAAGTGGTGGTGAACCGCCGCCTGGCGTCGCAGTTGCGCCAGCGCGACAAGGTGGGAACCGGGCCCACCGGGGGGAGGGCGTACAAGCGCATGGAATGGCGTGGGGCAGGGTGTGCTTGCGAGGGCGGCAGGGATTTGATAAGCTTCCGCGCGCTTCCGCGAAGTTAGTTGTTTTTTCTTGCCATTTCTGCCAAAAGGAAACCGTAAAATAGCACTTACCCTCTCGTTTGGTGTGTCAGCTGGCTTGCGGTTGGTGACATGTTCCTGCCGCGGTTGGTGAAACCCAAAGCCCTACTGTAGGGTCCGCCTGCTGAGCGTAACTGCATGTAACTTGCATGCTCTGCCCTCGCCTTGCTTCCGAACCCATTTCACCACTGACAGCTCCACTTTCGGCGGATCTCTGTTCTCTTGCTGTTACTGCTCGCGATTTATGAGGTTCCGGATGCGTCTGGCTTCCGTGCTGACGAGAACTGCGCTCCCATCATCCCTTCTTCCCTTCCCTAGCACTTGATGCTTGGGGCGTCATAGCAGTCCATACCTTTCTGCTTACGTGATATATTTCCCCCCCTCGCATGCAGCCCATGCAGCAGGGCTATCACCCTAGCATTTCTGCGTATGCACACACACATACACATACACACACATTCTTCGCGTCTTAACGTATGATTCGACGCACAAACACGCACACATCCTATTCAACTCGGTCCCGCAACCCCATGTCATGTTGACCCCTTAGGACCTGGCTCGGCTGGTGGTCAAGATCCTCAACCTGCAGGACGCCCTGCAGAGCGCCTCACGTGCCGTACCCGTCCTACGTACCTCCTCCCTGGAGCGCTTTGCCACCACCACCACCCTCATTGGCATGGTGTGAACCCCCGAGTGCCTGTATGCTGCCTGATGTATGTGCGTAAATTCCCGACATCTTCCGTCCGAAGCTTGTCGGCGGTTGGGAGGTGCTTGGTCAGGGTTCGGTCGGCATCGTCGTGCCTGAGGGAAGGACGGACTTGGGATCTGGATAGCCGGGCACCGCACTGCCCCCTGTGTGGAGAGCGGCTACGTTCGTGGAGGTTTGAGGTGAGGCGACGAAGTGAGAATACGTTGATGTTTTGTAATGTGCCCTCGGTGCGGGCCGTAGGCAATCTCGGCTTAACAACCTGCGATGTTTTCTGTTTTGTATGGGAAGCTCGTTGCATTGAAACTGGAAATGCTTTGAAACTGGCAAGGAAATTTTAGTATCCAGGAGATTTACAAAGCAGGAAATATAAAAGGAAAAAACTGCTTTTATTTTGTGTACACGTGGACGGAGAAATGCGAGGGGGAGAGAGAGAGAGATGGCTGACCAAGGCGGCCGGCCAGCTTCCGTCTGTGCGCCCACTGTATGCCCACTCACTGCTCGAAACGCGGCATGGCCAGCTGACGGGCTGCCACATGTGGGGGGCCTTCGTCTATGTGCCCCTTGTCCAACACCTTCGCGTGTATGGCTCATGCATGCAGTAGCCCCCTTCGTTGGAAGAGTCGTTGTTACTGCGTGTTGCAGCGCTGTTGCGGCATAGTTAAAATTGGTGCTTGGAAGGAAAGGCGAAGAAAGAGGAGGGGGCTGGAAAGATCTGTGTGCTCGTCAATGGGGCATGTTGCATCGACGAGGACCTATTGATGTACCTAATATGTACGTGGGTCTAGAGGTCACGTGACGAGCATGTACCCGAAAGATGCGGTGCGGAGTTTGTTTGTGCACACAGCCGTTTTTGTTGAGCAGGGATTTCAATGCGGAAGTTAGGGGCCGGCGCTGTGGGTTGATTTGCAGTTGGGGCCCGACAGTATTTCAAATATGCTTTTCTTCTTTTTACTCCTGTTGGAGCAGCTGCGAAGAGAAGCGCTGTGCTGGGCGTGTATCATCTCACTAAGTCGGATTGAGCTGGAGCTGCAATAAGGGAGTCGGATGAGCTGTGGCTGTGTCGTCGTCGTCGTCGTTGCCCGTCGGGTTGAGAGAGGAAGAGAATGGAGAGGTGGTGGCTGTTGGTTTTGTGAAGACGCTTGGCTGGCGGCAAGCTTGGGAGACTGTGTTGAGTGCACACCTATCAATGCCCATTTCGTTGACGTGTCTGACGTATCGAATCGTTTCCGTTTCGTGCTATGTAACGCCGAAATCGAACGTCGGAGCGCTGGGGCCCTCCGGGCCGCACGTTACCACTTCGCCGCGTCGTTACCAATTGTACGATAAAAGAGTACGGCGGGGAGTGGGTGCGAGTACCTGGAGCTCGTCTTCCGCTTCGGTGTACCATATTTGTACGACAACCGTGTGCATGTACGCGTCTCCGTTTAAATAGTGTCCTAAATGAGTAGCGCGTACCAGTAGTAGATCCGTCTACTGCTTTGTCTTCTGCATTGTCTCTATATCCTCACGTATCTATCCTGCCGTAACGTCCATACACGTCCCCACTTAACGATTGTGCTCTGCGTAAGCTCCCCGCGAATAAAGGAGCACTGCTGTACGTTCTTCTTGGATGTGTGCCATGGCCAGTCGACCAGGCAGGGTCACATTTTGCTTTCATCTCCCGTTGTTGCGCGTAACACATCTGGAGGAGGATAGCCTCAGCAGTTCGCCGTCGGTGCTGTGCTTTCTCTAATGCCCAAAGATGTCGCTTTGAGGCGGAGAGACTCGGTAGAAGGGTGCCTCTTTGGCTGTGCCAGTTCACTTTCGAAGGGGCCGAGGCCTGTTCTGATGGCTGTCGGATTGCTCCTTGAATCGACTTAAAATACCGAGGCATTATGAAAAGGTTCTGCTGCTGAGAGGAAGGGCGGGAATGGCTCCGGAGGTGCTTCCGTGGGGCAAAGATTTGTTGCATGAGAGAGAGGAAATTGCGGTGCAGGGCGGTGTTCCCCTATGGAGGGATGTATTCCATCTGCATTGTGCACTCGGCGATTGCTGTTGTGGCGGTTGTGGTTGTTATGGTTGTTGAATGCACACGGCGTATTTCTAGTTGCACACCGTATGGAATGATAACAGGAGGTTCCTTGGGGTCTGAGCTTCAGGAAGTGAGGCGAGCTGAAGCTGGGAGCTATCGCGGCCACTGGGAGATGGCTACGTAGGTGTACGTACCTAGAGAGCGCGTCATGCCGTACCATGCCTCTCGCTTTGTATAGTATTATATGGATTATGGCCCCAGATCTTCAGGATGAGGGGGTAGGCGAGCCGTAGGGTAGGGGGCTGTGGCGTTCACGGGAGCGGTGGTGGAAAGGTCACACGAGCAGGCCATTGGTTATATGGGGAGCTGAGGGGTAGGGCTGGCCAGTTCATGGCATCCTAAACGCCAGATGACGATTCGTTCCCACGGCGTGGGTTGCATGTTTTGCCTGGTCTGTGCAACATGATTTGGGCTGGGTACTATGGCAATGGCACTGCACACGTCTTGCGGCCATGTATTCAAGAATCCAATTAGGGTTATGCCCTGGGGGCATGGTGGTCGTGTTGCTGCCCGGAGGTCCGACCCAAAGCCGCGACCGCGGACGCGCTGCTGGTGAGTTCTTCCACCCGTTCCGGTACACGACCAGCTAAGGTTTTGGACGCTGTTGCGTGACGTCCTCCTCTGTAAACTGCGCTTCAACCGACCCGACCATTATTTGTGCACGCTCGCCAAGTACGGCTCAAAGCCGTATGACAGGCGGGCTTTCGGCGCACGTTAAAACATTGGTATAGCGGAGGATCCTCTCCTTTGCCGGGTCTCTGTTATCCTGCACAGCAGCAAAAGGCGTCGAACACCTGTCGTCTGACACACAGTTTGCCTGCCTTTACCCCCTTTCCCGAAGCGAGCGTGCGAGACGCACCGTACTTAAATATGGATAGGGAGAAGGGAAATTGCCTGCAACACATTGGCGCTATGGAGCCATAAGGAGCGCTAGAAGGGAATCCACGGCATCCTAGACAGACAGACGTACAGACAAGCAGAGAACATGCATTCTTCACTGTTCTGTCCTCATTGAAAATGTACACACGCGCATTGCGGCTCGGTTCATTACTATTACACATACACACACCTCTGGGCAGGCAAGGACAACATGCATATACCTCGTTTCCCAGCCCGTTACTTGGGACCACCCTCGATGGATTCGAAATTGGCTATGTTCCGAGAAGCTTCCAAACACGGTGGTCGTTGCTACGCTGCTCTCCCGCCAAGAGGCTGCTGCTGTTGTTGCTGCTTGCAACTCAGCTGGGATACTCTGCTCTGAGCGAAATTCATAACTGGCGGCACGGCATACGCCGCATCGACGGTGGGGCCGTCTAATAATTTACTTCAACGTCCTACCCCAAGACTCTGTTGCATTGCACTGCAAGATCCCGAACAAAGCCAAAAGCTTTTCAGATCCGGAAAGAAGCCAACTCGTCCGGAAGGTAAGCAACATATACACAAAAGTAGGCAAACAGGACAGACAGACAGACAGACAGACACCCCGTCGCTACTCCGCACAGCGCGTGAGGAATGCCATCAAGTACAGCGCGTGCGCTGTCCCCGCAGATTTATGTAACAAGTACACCTGTACACGCACATGCATACACACACAGATAAACAGACAGACAAACAAACAGACAGACACACAGATAACTCTAGGCCCTAAGCAAGGTGGAGATGCACCGAGTAATCGTGGTAAGGCTCCAACCTCTGGAGGCCGCACCTCGCCCCGCTTCCTTTAGGTGTTTCCCCCTTATCAAAGCACAGCGCCCTAGCCAGCGCTGCAGTAGCACCGTCATTATATCGCTTCTGACTCTCTTTCTTTCCGTTCTGGCCATCGTCAGTGGAGTTCCATCATCGTACGGCACCCATCCGGACGGAAGAAACGTCCGCCAGTAAGCCGTTTTATCCGTTTCCACAACACCCAATGTGCACATGTGACAAGATGACCTTCAAGATACAAACGCTCAAGAAAAAATGCAGCGCGCACACGCCTGTGTGTGTGTGTGTATGGGTGCGTGCCTAGATGCACCAAGCAAAAATGCAGTCGTGCATGAGCTAACAACAAACCTACAAACCGTCAAGCTGACTGCCAGCCTGCCAGCGAGAGCGCGCTGTGTCCCTAGAATCCTGGCGTGAATGTGTATGTATGTTTGTGTGTGTGGGTTTAGGTGTGTAGGTGTTTCGACTCCTTTTTCGCAAAGTGTAGGAGACCTGGACGGAGCGCGGGTGTAGTGAGGTCCGTCGGCCTCTGTATCACCTCTTCCCCTCGTAAAGCACCTCAATCCTCAAAGCCGCTTCCCGCATGAGGAGGGAGGAAACCAATCCTTGCCCGTGTCTCTGAATATCCACAACCCTTTTCTCTCCGTTTTCTTTCGTCTCTTGAGGAGCAGCCAATCCGCGCACACGTACCCAAAGTCGCACAAAACCCCCGCCTCTTTTTCCTTCCATTTCCATTTCCCCCTGCTCCCCGGACGTTTGGGACCATTCTAATTTGCTTTACAAGCGCTGTGACAGAAAGCCGCCACCGACACTCAGCCCCCCTTCCCTTTTCCCCCGAAATCGAGAACTCCACCTCCCAAAGTTGCAGTGGCAGTTCTGCGGTGGCAGTAACAGCTCTTAAACAGCGCTCGTGAAGTCGAATCACAGCATCGCAGAGTGCGCGCGCACACAATGATCCACGTAATGATGGCGGTTCAGAAATATCCGCATTGAGAAATTATAACGGTATTTCGTATTGTAACCGCTCTGCATAACCTATGGCAGAATTCAGGGTCTCATTGGGACGTTTCTCATGCAGTCAAATGCCTTTTTCATGTCCCCGTGCTTCATAGGGCCTTGAGAGCAGGAGGAGCGAGCCTTCAGACGTCGCTGCCAGAGGGCCCCCCTTTAGGGGTCCCATGCAAGGCAGGGCTATGAATGATGTACGGCATAGGCCGTACGCCCAATATCCCATTGTGACACCAAAGGTGCACGTAATCCCGGGCGCGCTGTGGCGCCACCACCACAACCTACTTCACTACCATCATCCGGCCGACAAACGAGACGCTGCTGTTCTTCTGTACTTTTCCCGAAGGATTGGCGAGGGGGACGTCGCAGATAGGGGGCCCGTGCCTTCCTCACCCCAGCCACCCCCGTGCCGTCCCTCCCCCCTTCCTTCCTTCCCGATCAGAGAAAAGCACAACAGCAGATCAAGTCCGACTAAAGGAACCCAAAGTCGCACGTACACAATAACTGTGCCGTACCAAAATGTACGACTGTACAGCATCCACGCCTGTGCGTATGCTAGGACGGCACCTAAAGTAGCCCGTCATTCCTCTCCACCCTTAAGCCCTAAACCCCATAGCCACACAGATCATCGCTACAGATCAACGCAAACACCACCATCGCTATCGGGGCCATACTTCACCCACCCTACCCTACCCCACCCGGCCCAGCCAGCCACCCCTTATGTTACTTTGCTACACTCGACACCTCCCGGCGCCCCTACGACTCAACAGCAGCGGCAGATGCACAGCCTTCTCCACCAATGGAGCGCCCCCCGTAACCAGAGCTTCCCCTCGAGCTGCAGCCACAGCCGCCGCCCCCGCCGCCGCCGGCGGACTCAGCAGGAGGTGCGCCACTGCCATCCCGCCGCCGCCACTTGGGCCAACGGACATCCGCGACGGCTGCGGCGTCGCCGGAGCCAGCCTTCCTCGCAGCAACCCTTCGCCGTACTGGTGCCTGTACGGCACTTGGTTGCCGACTGGCTGGGAGGCCGGCCGTGGTGGAAGATCTCCTTCCACACCCCGCTGGCCATCCTCATCCTCATCCTCCATGTCAAAGAAACCATGTTGCTGCAAGCGAAATCGGGATCCCCTCCGCCCTCCGTGCTGTTGAAACTGCTGCGGTTGCTGTTCCTTTTGCGGTCCCTGCACCTGCTGGTTGCGGTAGTGACGGTGGTTCTGTTGCTGCTGCTGCTGGTTTTGTTCCTGGTGGTGGTGCTCGACATGGAACTGTTGCTGCTGCTGTTGCTGCAGCACTCTGAGCGGATGACGGGGCTGACTGGGACGTCGCTGCTGCTGTTGCTTGTGCGGCTGCCGCTGCTGTTGCTGTAACTGCTATGGTGGCGTGTACTGCATACGTACGGCGATAACGGTGGTGTTGTCGCCAGAGCCACGATTGCGTACGGCCTCCCGTACGAGCGCCTCTGACAGCTTGGCCGCTGTGAGCTGCTGTTGGGCCTTACAAAACATGGCCACTTCGTCGTTAGTCATCACGTCCTGGAGCCAAGGGGCCGGGGGGAACGGGGAAAGAGGGGCCGGGGGAAAAGTGAAATGCACCATCAGAGACTAAACACACACACACACACACACACGCGCACGCAAGGAACATGTAGGGGTCTCATACAGATACCCCAATGATGTGCATGTGGAGAGGGAGGGGGGAGTGTAATACTAAATGGAGGGAAGAGGGGAATCATGTCCTCCCAAGCCCCTTGTAGTGGTGCTGCTCTCTCGCAACCCAGTTCCCCAGCAGCCACCTCCCCCTCAGCTCCAAAACCTATTCCGGACCCTTTTCCTGGATTTTAAATAAATCTTGCCGCTACTGCCCCGCCATCGCCGCCACGAACCTTACGCTTGCGTAGGGTTGGCAAAATCTTTAGATGGAAAAAGTATCTAATTAGAAATCTAATTAGATACCTAATCTAATTAGGTAAATCTTTAGATGGGCAAACGGAAAACTGCCTAAACGGTGGAATTTTGACCTGAAATTTTGCACACGATGCGGCTTTATCTTTTCCTGGATTTTCCAATAATTTTTTGGGCCGCTCGACACTGGGAACACGGCGAACCCCTATGGGCGCTCTACAGACGCGTGTCGGATAGCGCCAGGGGGTGGCGATTTGCACTGCAGCGAGGAAGAAGGTCCGAACTGGCCCCTCCTCCGCGCGCGAGCGCTTCGTGCTGTTGGTTGTGGGCGCCCCGGACTGCTCGCTTCCGACCGCGCTGGCGACGTCCTTCTGGTGCTTCGCATAGTGATCCGGGCAGACAGCTGACGGGTTCTTCGCGCTATAGGACTTGTTGCAAACGGTGCAGACGAGGTTCACAACGCCTTTTACGAGCAACACGTCGAAGATGGACCAGTACGCTGTGGCTTTGATGCTGCGCTTAGCTTCGCAGAGCTTCGCTGCGTACTGTGGCGCGTCGAAAGTCTGGTGGTTGTATTTGTATGTGATCGGCTTTTGGGGTCCTGGTTCTGCCATTGTGTATTTCTACATCTATTTGTGTATGTAATAGAGCGGAGCAAGGATATGACACTAAAGTTACCTTCGACATAGCTGTTTCGCGTGCCATGACTCACGTTTAAACGGTCTGGATCCGGTCACCGGCCTTTAGATAGGCATTAGATGGACTAGATACGTTTAGATGCCATCTAAACGGTTTAGATAGGCTCATCTAAAATCTATATAGAAATCTAATTAGATGGCATCTAAATTAATTTCTAAATCTAAACTTCCGGCCAACCCTACGCTTGCGTCCTTCCTCCCCACCCACCCACCCCACGCACGAGTCCACCCACTCACCCACAGCCCGTCCGAGGCAATCACCAGCCAACGGTCCCGTCGCATCAACTGCCGACAGTTGACCGTTGGACGACAGGATACATAGCGGGAGAACTCGCTGTCGCCAATGGCACGCGCCACCGCCAAACTGCCGTCGATGCGCCAGGTACCAAACAGTTGGATGACAGTGCCGCCGGCGGCCTGTGCGCATGTGTTTGTATGGGGGGGGAGGGGAGAAAGCAGTTGCGGCGGCATTGGTGAAAACCAATATACTCAACCACGGTAGCCCACGGTGGCGGTAGTGGCCCTGGCCGTGAAATTGGCAGCGGACATAACACCGAGGGAGGGAGGCGTGTATGTATGTATGTGGCAGGTGGCTGGCAGAGGTTAAGGCCTGACTTCTGATCCCGGAGTGTCCGGGTTCAAATCCGCCTGCCGACCTCTCGGTATGCGAGGGGTGTAGAAATGAGAGGTGCCCCCCCCATCTTGTGGACGGTGTAGGACGTGATAATATCAACTTGCGAGCTGACCAGGAACTAAGTTGTGGCGCCGTTGATCCGCTAGATTTGGTTGAATGCTGGTGGTGAGTTGCCGAACCCAACGAATACACTCTGAAGTCGAATGGGGTGAATGGATTAGGGTGCCCCTCTCGCAGGGGAGAGCAGGGAACTGCCTCGGGAAAGGGGGCCGCTGGTGAAGCTATACCACCCTGTAACAACATCATGTATGATGTGTGAAACAGGGGGGTATATCTTCGCCCGTGGCAGCTACCCTGCGAAACCCTGCCTTCCCCGGTATTTCGGGGCACCCTCATCCAGTCACACTAGTCAACTTCTCAGTGGATCGCTCAGGTTCCGCACCCACCACCAGCATCCAACGGAATCTGCCGGGTCGACAGCGGCGCAACTCCATTCCTGGTCGGCTCGCGGGTTAACTTTATCCCAGGTCACCACCGTCCATCAACTAGGGGCGCAATGCCTTCCACCATCGGAAGGACTTTGACCCTAACGGGTATCGATCCCGGGATCTCCCGGGGGCAATGGTCGCGCGTTACCATCATGTATGTATGTATGCATGCATGTATGTATAAAGTGACGGCTAAGTGGAGATCTCCCAACAACCACAATCAAATCATCTTCACGTAACTGTCCTTTCCCCAGCGGTCGGGTGTCCTCTCTCGATCTAGTGCCCAACTGCCCCCCCCCTAAGGGCCGCTCTCGGCTGGGTGCCCAGAGCCCCCCGGGTGTATCACGACTCGCCAGAGCGGTGTCGTGAGCCCTTCCTGCAACCCTCCCCTCCCTCCACACACATGCACATGCACGCGATCGGTGGATTGGGGGGTTTGCTAGGCATCTGAGCTGGTTTATGTAGCTGGCGAGGGGATTCGAACAGGTGACTGCGCCTTGCGATGATGAGAGATGTCGGTTAGGACTTGACACTGACCGATGGAGCGCCCCTCGTGATAATCCTTCGGCGGTCTCACCCATGGGGGCGCGGGTAGCGTCCCCCGGCCAGAGAGGGTCAGGGGGGATGTGTAACAGTCACATACACACGCACGCACACGTGCACACACACGTGCGGGGGTTTTAACCCGCCACACCCCCTCACCTGAACACGTCTCGTCTCCTCGCTCGTCTTCGCGGGCCCCAGTTTATGGTCAACGGACAGTTGCATCGCCTCGGGCCGCCCGCCAGCCTCGTGCTCGTCCCAACTAACAATGACTGTACGGCTGTCGCCCACGTTGGCTGATAAGACCCACGGGACACCCGCCTGCTGGACGAGCAACGCCATTGCGACGCACGACCCCGCCGTCATTCGCGAGGCAATGGCTGCGTTCCCGCAGGTTATGAACACATCCTCCAGTACGGCAGCCACGTCAGTCGGACTGTCGCCGTTGGATATGAGCTGCTGTACGGCTTCCATGGCGCGATTGAGCAAGCAGTACGACGACGCGAGCCAGTGGGAAACTTGTTTGCCGCCTGCGTGACATCGGCGCGTGTATGTATGTATGTATGTATTGTGTTCATATGTATGTGCATATGTATGTATATATCTATACGCGGGTTTTAACAGAAGAGGAGGAAAAAGCGGGAGTTGTTGGGAAGGATGGTGGAAGACTGAGGTAAAGATAGGAATAGAGATGTCCGGATGAACTCGGAGCTGTTGGTCGCGTTTAAGGTTTGCTGTGCTGTGCTGGACGACCACGGACTTCAAATTTTTGAAGCCCGATAACGCAGTGTAGCGGCGCTTGGCATTATTATCATCACCATCACCATCATCAGTGTTGTTGCTACTGCTACTGCTGCTACGAGCTGAGCTGGACTGGGGCCAACCTGGGTAACTCCGTTCACCGCAGAGATAATTTGTGAGACAATCCCCCCCCCCTCCCAGACAACCTCCCTAAGGCAGCACCATTTCCCCCCCTGCAAACGACTCCGAGAAAACCCAAATCGATAAATCAGTAATTGGATGAGTCAAGTGACACAGTGAGTCGTTGGAAACTGCCGTACCGTGGCCGTCGTACACCGCAACGCCAAGCAGCATGTTGGGTAGGTTGTTGAGCCCTGGTGTAGAGCTGGCGTCACAGATAGCGCGGTAGTCCTCTTGGTAGCTTCGACTGCCCATAGACTGATTAGAACCGACGGAAAAAGCCAAGCCTGGTACGGAGGATGCTGTACGACTTGCCGCCGTCAGGCCGTTGCCAGTCGGCGGGCGGGATGCGTTGGCAGTGCCGCTGGCCGCGGCGACGCCGTTAAGGGGGCCGTTGGAGGCGCGGCCGGCCGGGAGGGTGGCGGCCAAGCCGCCGCCAGGGCCGCCGCGGGTGGCGGCGCCGATAACGGAGAGGCCAGCGGACCCGCCGCTGACAGTGCCGTTGCTGCCGACAGCGGACGCGACCAAGCGGGCTATACCGGCAAGGGTACCGGCGGGGGCCGTGTTGTTCATGGCCAGGTGGTTGCCGTTGCCGCTGTTCTTGCGGGCGAGGGTGTTGTTATTGGTTATGGGATTGAAGGTGGCGGAGAGCTTGGGGGAGAGCTGGCCGTGGGTGCGACTAGGTGTCTGGGCCGAGGGGCGACCCGCAGGCTGACCGGGTGCCGTAGCGACGTTGGAGTTTGTGGTGGGGGTGTTTGGGTCGTTGGTCACCCGACCGCCGCTGAGTTTTGTATTGGCAAAAATTGAGGGCTGCAGGTATGGGATGCCATTTGTGCCGTTCGGCACCGGTCTGCCGTTGACCCCGTACCCCAGCCCTCCAAGGGCTGCTTGTACTCCTGTTCCTGAGAGAAAGGATTGTGGATTGAGGCCATCAGGCTGCTTCTGCAAAGGCAAGCAGGGCCGCGGCCAGTAACACATGACGCCAGGTTTCGTCCATGGTTGCGAAACACAATGCATTTCACCTACCCTGCCTGCACCAAATGGACTCTGATAGCGCTGATTTTGTCGGCTCATGCCAAGCGTCGTGGCTGCCCGGCGATGTCGCGAGTGCGCCGCGGCAAAGGCCGCAGCGTCGAAGTTGTTACCTGTACGCTACGATTTCCCCATAGGTGAAGCTAAGACGTAAGTTAGTAAGGTCAGAAGCGGGCACAGGTTTGCGTCCTCCACAACAAAAGTTCTTATTGTTGGCAGCCAAGCTAGAAGTGCCCTCAATACCAGAGAAACATTAGCAGGACAATTTCAGAAAGTAAAGAAAACTTATAAACGAGCACAGGTCGTATCAAGTCAAGAAGTCAACAAACAGCCAAATAACATCATAGACAAAGGTGTAGGGCTACGTAAATTTTAAGGTATACGTGTAAAGTTGGCATCTTGGGGTTTGCCTCCAAACCATTGTTGCGCTCTTCGTCGTACTAGCAGAGGTGAGGGACCGGCTCTATTCCAGTTGAGATATGCCAAATCAATACGTTGCTTCTCTCGTTGATTCAACTTTACTAGTCAGCACAATGTCAAACATTTCGGACCCAACGGGCAAGGAAACGGACCCAGCAGCGGTTTTTGTACTACCTATGGTAATGTTTTTGACCTGCCCCAGACACATAAGCAAGGAACAATAAAACATGTGACCCAATCTCCACTATGCCCTAGATGAGAAGGCACTTAGTAAACACCAAAGTGTGTATGGCCGTTCGTTTCCCATGAGACAGAGGAGTTTGTATGTGCATATCCGGTTGATGTTTCCAAAATCTGAAGATCCCGTCATCAGCAGTCCTACACCGAGTGAACAGCTGTCGCAAAGCTACCAGCCATCCCGACACCACCGCAGCAACACAACGGAGTGATCGATCCAAAGTGATCCACCCGTCATGGCACAAACGTCAAAAGGCCGCTGAGGTGCCACACATGTTACACAGCATCACAGCATTAACTGCGTCCGTCTCTTTTAGCGCAAACCACAGGCCCTCCAACCCAAACTTGATGGCCACAGCTAACTTCGCGTTCCAAGACGCCATTACATCGACTACCCTCTGGCGAACACACACACACACACACACATACACACACACACACGCACACACACACAATGCACGCATCGCCCTAGCGTCACTCCTAGCTGCGAAATACGGTGCTCTTGCCTGCATGATCTTTTTCCCTTGCGGCCGCAACAATCTGCTACCCTGTCATCTGTCGCGTCAAAGGGGGGTGCCCCCCGTGGGCCGTATGGGTGCTTCAAAAACTTCTCCTCTAAGGTCCAGCAGGGGCGGCAGGGATGCATCCAAATCAACACAAGATGGCAACACGCACGTCTTCCAAAGACGTACCCTTCCCCCTTTCCCTCCCTGAAAGGCCACCCAAGCACACATACATAAAGGCATCAGATATCACACATCATCCCACGTCGGCGGGGTCACCGACGGACGTAAGCACCTCTCCTCTTCCCCAACCCCAACAATTTCCGTACCTGTGCAAGAATTCTGCTTATTACCTGGTATGTAACGCCAGTTTCGCGAAAACAACCTTCCCCCCGTACCACCCCTCACAATGACGTGCAGGGAAGTAAGGAAAAAAACTCATACCTCAGAAAAAACCCACCAAAAAAACCCACCAGGAAACCACCAGAAAAAAAACCCACCAAAACACAGACCCAATACACGCAGGCAGCACGCAGCAGCTAACTTAGGTTTTTTTTTGTCTATACTATACAGTCTCTCCCTCTTCATTGAAATAAAGTTATACTTTCCTCCCCAGTTACCGTCACCATAGCTGCTCAACAACACTATTTCCTGCGACTTGCAGCAGCTGCGGCAGCCGCCGCCGCTGCCGCCGCCGGCGGGACCTCCGCCCGTATGAGCCTGACGTACGGCGCCAGCTGGGCCCCAAACGCCCCCAGCAGGTTGGCCCCCTCGTAATGCCTCCCCTCCGCCACCAGCAGCGACACCTCCACCACCAGGTTGCCGCTGCCGCTGGACCCCGGAGCCACTCGCTTCAGACTGGAGGCGTCCTTGAGCACGTGCGGCTCCGCCAGCGCGTAGACGGAGGCCAGGACCACCTTGCAGTGACATGTGTACGTGTTACGTGGGGAAGGAGGGAACGGAAAGATGTATGTATGTATGTATGTATATGTATGTATGTATGTATGGTCAAGAGGGCAGGAAGGAATATGGAGATGGCGGAAACGGAAGGGGGGGGCTCTAAGGGGAGAGAAGAAGGAGGAAAGGGAAACTGGGGAGAAGAGGGACGACGGAAGGAAAGACAAATCCAGAGGGATATGTGACAGACACAATTTCGAGGAGGTTGCAGGATGGCGGTGCGGGATGGTGAGAGAAAGATAATGAGAGAGGACGGGAAGGGTTTTAATTCAGTGTCCCCCTGAACCCAGGGATCAGAAATAAGCTTGGGAAGCGGGAAGGGATTCTTAATCGCCTCCGAACGGCACTAGGAGGGCCCTGCTCCATCCGAGTGGTGGCGGGGGGGTGCGGCTAATACCAGTACGTGTGCCACCTCGTCAGGGGGAAATTCATCTTGCCACACAAAACCCCAAAGCCGCCGTGCCTTCGTCACCACTGGCGTCGTACCAGTACCGTACGACGTACCTTGATCTCATGGCCGTGGAATATGATGCTGTACTCGTTGCCTTCGCGGTACATCTCGTACTCCAATTTACCGCCCAGCGCCTGCAATGCCATGCAATGCAATGCCATGCATGTTAGCCCTAGGGCTTAACGCGGACGTCTTCCTCTCCACAGGCAGGGGAGGGGGGGAAAGACGAACCACGAACGAGTGAAGGTGCTGCCAGGGCAAGAGTGTACCAGACCAGGGGAGTGAAATCGACGTGCCGGCGGCTCGGGGTTTGGTTGCTCCATAATAACCTGAGAGCCATAACCCCTCGGCACCCCTCTTCTTCAGCTGTTGGATTGATGTTTGATTTCGAGGACAGATTTGCAACAACCCTACCTGGACGAACCAAAAGGTTTCCTCCACTTTGGCACTTTCGCACTTTGTCGTACAGTGCAAATTCCGACAGTTAAACTGCCAACCGCCATAACTCACCCCCTGAGTATAACCCCACCGTGGTAACAACCACCAAGCTTATTAAAGCCATCTGATACAACGGAGCCCCAACAAACAGAAGAACCACTCAGGATTCGCCGTTTGCACTTTTTTTACGAACATGTCCTAAACAGGCCCCTCCTGACTTACCAGCATTATTAGCATTATTAGGACTAAAACCCTAAGTCAATAACTTACTGTTGACCCATTTGCGAAGTTAAGGACCAACAGCGATTCCACATCCGCGACCCAAACCAGCCCGGGGGCCCATGGATCCTCTTCCCCCCCGCCACCACTCACCCACCCTTACCCAGCCCTACCTTGAGCCAGCCTCACCCCCCTCGAACTCACCTTCCAGAACTCCAGTGTCCCTGATCCGAAGCAGGCGGTGTCCAGCACCTCCCTCATGGCCGCCGGTAGGGTGTTGAGTGCGGGGCCCTGCAGCGGGGGACCCTCGTGACGAACCTCCCACCTGGTCGCACGGGGGGACGTGGACGGGGACGTGGGGACGGACGTACATACGCACGTGCTCACGGAGGCTTTTTGAATCCCGTGTGCATGTGAGTGCGTATAGGACTGTCTATGACTGCCTGTATGTGTGTCTGTCTCTCCTCTAAGCCTCCTCCTCCTCCTCCTCCGCTCTCCCTCCCTCTCCTCCTCCGCTCTCCCCTTCCCCTCTCTCCTGCCCCTCCCTCACCGCTCGGGGGGGTCCTCCAGAAACGGGTGTTGCGGTCCTCGAGCTGCTCCTCCCTGGGGGGTCAGCAACCCGCTGCCCGGCAGCCGCCGACTCAGCCGCAGCAGCGCGCTCGTGCCGCCGGGCGGGGCACCAGGCTGAGGAGGCAACGGCATCCGCAGCACCACCATGTGTACAGCATGTGTGCAGTACGACGAGCAGAGCGACCGCAGCAGGTTGGCAAGCCCGCCGATGTGCTCGGGCCGATCCAGAATCCCCACGGCGCGGCATTCGGTAAGGGAAGCCGGGCCGCTGGGTGCGGCGTTGGCGGCGGCGGCAGACGCAGCAGCGGCTCCGCCGGCGGCAGCTGCGGCGCCGGGCCCCGCCGCGGCAGCCGCGGCGCTCATACCACCAGCAGCACCGACGTTCGCAGTCCCCAGTGACTGTTACCCCGCGAACGCGTCAATGCGTGCAAGGCAGATGCTTATTGAAAGCTAGTGATTTGGGGACTTGGTCGTTGTGTTGTATATAACCCGATGAAGGTGGTGGCTGTAGTGGTGGTGCTCCGGTAGCAAAGCTGCGAAGTGGGGTGTGTACAACCACGCGCACCTCAGCCACAGTAGTAGCGGTCAAAGCTTCTTTTTTGAAGCGTGTCTGATGTACGACTCACAGCACCACTTGGCTGGGTTCTCCGAAAGGGACGGCTTTGCACTACCGACCAGATCCATGCATGAGGATGCTGAGACCGCTTTGGTCCGCCAGCAATAGCACCGCATGCACGACGATGACCGTGCTGCCGAGTATGAGAGCGAAGATGACAAGGTTTGTTAAGCAACCGGCACAGGGACGAGCAGCAGAACGAATACTGGATAAACAGGTTAGAATCCAGTTGTGGCGCATTCATACAGGGAGCCCTGCAAGCGGTAGCTGCCCATAAACGAATTCTATATTGGCAATTGTCATACTATGGCATCCAGCACTAACAGCAAAACCTATGTTCAGAAGAATATTTCACTGTCAAGGATATCGCTTAGGATGGCTTCCATGACGCGAAACTGGTTCGTCCAGAACCAAAATGCCGGCGAGCCGTACACAAGCCTTTTTGATGCCAGTTTGTCAGGTACCAGGACAACAAATAAAATCACTTCTATCTTAATTTTTTTTGGTGTGCACCCGTGGGTCGGCCAAGGGCAGCCCATACCGATCCCATGATCTTAGCGGACGTTGTAGGATGTCGCGACGCAGACAAAAGGAGCTTGGAGAAAGTCTATTTTGTCCTAAAGTTCCATTCCCATGGGTTGGCAAATGGATGACAACCATCTTTCAAAACCCTCGGATGTGCACTAAAGCGTCACCTAAGCTGGTAACATAACGGTTCAATGTGCGCTCCTTGACGGGTATCCGTTGTAGAGGGACATTTTCAACTGGCTGTTTCCAGGTCAGTACAAAATGTAACGAACGCCTATATAAGTTGAAACGTTGTCACCCATGGCGTCTTGGGACCAGGTAACTATTGCACGACCTTTGGCTCCTCGGGCTAGCTGTTGCTCAGCCCTGGCACATCTCAGTAGGTCCAACGAGCGGGGTACGGCCAGCCTTATTAACAGTCTGGCATTCTGATGAGGAAGATTAACCTGAGGATTCTTACATAACCAGAAGAATTTCAAGTTGTTTTACGCAGTTTGCAACAATAATAATTCACAGAAAGGCCTTTCCGCTGGTGCGCGGGTCAAGACGCGAAAGACCCCAGGCTTTCAAAGCAGCGACGTTAATGCGCCTTTTCACAGGCCTTTTCACCAGCCACATACGCTTGCACGTTTTACATCAGAAAAGCCCAAGTTTTCTTACGCTTCCGATACCGATTACCGACGCTATTCTCGGCTCACCCAACACAGCGGGTCATTTTTTTCTACGTAGCCTTGTCCAGGACGCAATATACTGGGTGGTCCAATTTCCAGAGATAGCAACCGCCATCGCAGCTGAACCATCACAGCGACACAATCCAGCCCGATAACCAATATCTCGCGTTCAGCTGCACAAAGAAGGCTTCTCCCTTCTATCTTGTTACTAACAGGGGACGATGAGCATCGTTGCAGTCTTACTGCGGCTTGCTGTCTGCAGTGTCGGGGGGTTCACGCTTGCCATGCTGGCTGGTGGGTTCTTCACAGCTGCCATCACCTCAATCGGGCTATGCGCGGATGAAAGCAGCGACGGTAGCGGCCACAGCGGCCGTGGCTGGGGCTTCCCTGGTTGGAATTTTGGTGGCTGGGGCTTTGGTCTGTTCCTTCGCCGTGCTAGGCATTGCGGCAGCGGTACGGCAGCAATGGCGGAGGCAGAGACGAGGGCTGACGAAGAGCAGGACCGACAAAGGCAGAAGCGCTGCAACGGTGGAGGCCTGGAGGGGAGGTGTGCAGCTTGCATGGCGGAAGTTGCGACGCTTGGCTTCGTGCACGGTCCCAAGATGCATCTGTGCCTGTGCCGGAGATGCTATCGGAAGCTGTGGCAGCACGACAGAGCGCGTCACTGCCCTATTTGCGGCGTGGAGGGGCAGTGTACGGAGGTCATCAGCACGTGATGTTGTCACGGCATCGCGAGTTACCGACTTCTTGAGAATGTATCAATTAATGGCCGCTAAAAAACCATGACTTCATATATACGACCTCATACACGAACTCATGTGAAATTTTAACAAAACCGCAGTGACATGCCCACGTGCCAAATGTTAGTTAACAAACGCTTAAATGTCGCAAATAAACCCTCCATGTCGCCTCTCGCAGCCTGGCCCCCTAGCACTCACCGGGGTATTGCTTAATGAAAACTGCCTATGCACTCTTAAGTCTTAAGCGACTGTCGTACTGTACTTGCTGGGATCTGAGATCGGCCCTCACCAGAAGGTTTGTGGATTTCACACTATGTTGTTGTTGTTGTTGTTGTTACATGGTCGTGGGTGCGTTCCCCGTACCTGCAAACCACCCTAATACGAACCGAGGGCTCAAGGGCTGCCAGATCGCCTATAAGCACCATCCTACCTCGCACTTCAAACGAAACAAGTGATGAAGGATACTAACGACCAAAGGGAACGATAGAGTTGCGGTGGGACCGTTATACGTTCCAGCATCCTTGCCAGGCGTTCAGGTTCCCACTTCATAGCGTCCTTTATGTGCTCGAAGCGTGGGAAATCCATATCAGATCTGATTCTGTCGTACACCGGACAGTCCAGCAAAATGTGCTTCTCATCCTTGATATGGCTATCAGTGCCGCAGCAAGGGCATACTCGCTCCTCCCTAGGTATATAACGCCGTCCCTTACGCGCTCTGTTAGCCGCCAATGCGTAACAGCAAAGCCTAAACTGCATAAGCTTGCGATTTGCTGAACGCGGGATAAACATTGTGATATGCGGGAGCACCTCCTTCCTGCCCGCTTGCTCGGCCGCCAGACCCATCCAATGCTTATACTTCGCCATGTGTAGTCCTGGTTGCTTGCCGTCTGACGGGTACACGTCTGGCTGGACATCTGAATGCGTATGCTTCCAACCACTCACTAATCGGTCCTTTGAACTCCAAAACCACGCCTTCTGGCATTGGCCTGTTCATCAGCCACTCCACTCGTTCGTCTACCTCGTGTAGCCCTTGCGGGGCCTCTTTCCATACGTCGTGCCCCAAAAAACATAGAAAACGGAGGAGTAGCGTCCCCCATCCGGCCCCTTCGGGGTTGGAGAGGGACTCTGCGACCTCCTGTCGCAAAACTTGGTGTGCCACAGACCCACGCTGTAAACGGACATGGTTCCAAAACCTCACAACCTGCTTGAAAACGTGGTAGTGACACTATGTGGAATTCGTAACCACCAAATTTCCGAGCCATTTGAATGCCTGCATACTGCCCGTCATCAGCAAGGAAGCCACCGCCTGCACATAGGAACACATCATCATCTGCCCAACCCAACACACCAGTACATACTACAAACACCTAGCAGCCACTTCCCGCAGTAACGGCACCCTAAATGGCAACCCCAAGGCTTGCCTAACCAACTAGTAGAGCAATTGACATCAGCAGCATTCCATGGCTACAAAAACTTGTATAAACACTGCCCCCGAAGTATGCCATGATAGCTCCAGTAAGCCGTAACAACACGGCGGGTGGCTAGCAAAAAGTATGGCCTGACTTGATTCCCGAAGGCCTCGGGCTCAAATCCCCCGATCAACCCCGTGATGTGTGTGGGTGATTAAGTGGGATGTGGCCCCCCATCTTAAAGACAGTGGTGGACGTAATAATAGCAGCTCGCGAGCTTACCAGGAACTAAGTCATTGCTGCCTGCATCTTGATGGTGTCTAGACAGAGGGATGCACCACAAAGTAGAGGCTTGATTTGGGATCCTCCTGACCGTGAGCAGGGATGCCCAGACGCTTGAACACGTCTTCAAGGTCATCAGCGTTGATAACCTCGCTATCTGACACACTCATTTGGAAAATTTACATCTCTGGCACCTTAACAGCATCAATGACGGGGAACTTGGAGGAAATGGACCTCAAGTAGGTGTTCTCATCAGTGCTCGCCATGCCACTGGCCTCGCCGTCTTTAAAGGTGTGAGACTGTTTGCAGACCTGGATGTCCAGCTTCTCCTCGTTGCCCCGCTCCAAAGTCTCCGGGTGCAACGGCACCACATCGAACTTGCCACCCTTCGCCAGTACAGCATGCATGATCGACTCCTAAAGATTGGCCCTAAGCTCACCGTCGCTGCTTTCCAGCAGAGATATAAATTCCTCCTGCTGATACATGAATGCCCGTTTGACGACCTTGTCCGCCACCCATTTGGTAGCAAACGATAGGTCCTTCTTCCGGAACTTGTCATCAGCCACAATATGGACCAGGTGATGGATAGCATTGGATCCCTCATAGATGGCACGAAGGGCCACCCGAAACTGATGTGATGGGAGCAACCAGGGAGCCAGGCCAGGTCACAGGTATGTTACATGTGAAAGGCAGGGTACAACTCGCCAAGAAACGAAACGTCAGCAGCAATATGGGAGGAGATAGGAGCTCAGGAGCAATGTGAAAAAACAAATCAGTTTCTACTGGATAGAAGGCACATCAACATTAAAAACTCAGGCAATGCAGGCAAGAAAAACATGCAGGAAGTTCAGATAGAGGACGAGCTATGCTACAACATTTCACCTGATCAACGAAGCAATGCACCACCTCGGTCAGCGGCTCCAGTAGCTCAGGCAACCCCGAGCCAGGTTTCACCGACGGATGAATAAGCACGTACCGTGCCACGCCGCCATAGCAGTTGTAGAGGTCCTCCACGGTCGCCTCCGGTACCATACATCTTGCTGCGGGCACATTTTTGGTGCGAGGGAAAGCAAAAGTGAGGAGATTGGCAATTTACATGCAGGACAATTTGCAACAA